CTGACAGCACCGAGGGGTAAAACGGGAGGGAGGGAGGCACCGGCTCCAGTCATCCTTCTACCCACAGAAAACCTTCCCAGCCCCGGCCCAGTGTCCCACTCCCCCTGGGCCAGCTACAGCCTTCATTAGCCCTTCCCTGTGCCCACCCCTCTCTCACTCTGCTCCTTTGTTTTAGAATCTATCGAGCAGCATCTTTATCCTCAGCATTTCCTGGGTGTCTCCTGTATGCCAGAGACGAAGGTGGCACCCTGGGCCTTGGCCGCATGAGGCTGCTCCCTGATATATCATTGAAGAAGAAATACTCAGGGTCAGGCACCGCGGGAGACACGACATGAACAACCCCACTGGGAACAAGGAGGGGCGGTACACCCAGCACACTTTTATCCTGCTCCACCTCTGACACTCAGCACCGTTTTCTTTTTACTCAGGTTTGCATCTCCAGGTCTGAAATCCCGGAAGCCATAGCTCTGGTCATGCCTTCCTTCCATCTTTCTGTTTTTCCTCCTGATTGTAAGGTGGCCACAGGCAAGAACCCTGCTAAGGTTGCATCTGTATTCACCTCCCCACCCTTGAGCCCATGCCGTGCCTATTTTGTGAATGTTTGCACACTCAACAGGAGAATCGAGTCTTGCCAATCCTACAGTCTTGCTAATTTATGGAAAGTGATTCTTCCAGCCAAAATACCATGAGCAATTATACACATGTTTTGGGCAAGGGTCTGTCTGTAAGAGTCAGCAAATGACTTTGGTGAAATGGGAAAGACTGGAGATCTGAGGTCTACGGATTTAACATATTTTCGCATTGGTTTTTCTGTTTATTATGTGTCACCAAATCTAGATGCACCATTAATGATTAAACACATCATTTTGTATACCATTAAGAAAGAAAAGCCCTGACCCGTGTAACCCAGTTGATTGGGCCTTGTCCCACAAACTGAAAGGTCACCAGTTCAATTCACGGTCAGGGCAAAAGCCTGGGTTGCAGCCAGGCCCGTGGTTGGGTGTGCACAAGAGGCAACCAATCAGTTTTTCTCTCTCTCTTTCTTCCTCCCTTCCTCTCTCTTAAAAAAAATAATAAATACATAAAAATCTTAAAAAAACACTCAAAGTTATCATTGTAGGATGCATCCCAGTTTTACAAATTAAAAAATTTGAACTATTGAAGTAAATACAGTATTTTTAAAATTGTGAAATAAAGTAAAAGAGGAAAAATTGCTGAAGTCTTACCTACCTAAAGCAATCCATTTTAAAGACTTTATTTATTTATTTATTTTTAGAGAGGGGATGGGAGGAAGAAAGAGAGAAACATTGATGTGTGAGAGATCCATCGATAGATTGCCTCTCACACGCCCCCAGCTGAGGACCTGGGCCACAACTCAGGCATGTGCTCTGACTGAGAATTGAACCAGGACCTTTCAGCTTGCATGCTGGTTCTCAATCTGCTGAGTCACACCAGCCAGGTCAGCAAATCCTTTTATTAGTATCTGTTATTAGACTTTGAATACCTTCAATGTTTCCAATGACATTTTTACCATTATGAACAATCTGTAATATATTTAATATGCATTACCTATTACATATATGCACTTATAAGTATTTATTAATATAGATGCTTATATAACAGATTTCTAAATACATTGGGATTTTTATTATGCCATTCACAGTGTTTGGGGTACTGTATAGATGTCGATGTAAACAAAGCTGACCCCATCTTTGTGTGCCCCCTAAGTTCTTCCTAGTTTCTATGCTGAGGATTCCGAGTAGCCTCAGCCAGCACCAAAGCCTCATAGCTAGTGATTAGCTGTGTCCTGTCACCAAGATTCCTGTCAGTAAGTGGCCAGAATGGAATAGCAACTGAGACAACTATCAGACTAGGTACTGGCACCAACTGTAAGCAATTATCCACCATAGGACCACCAGGAGGTGTGGTTCCTGGCTCGAGCCACATTCTTTGTCCCTTTGCCTTGTCAATCCTTAGTAGCTCAGCTACACTATAAAACATTTACTATACTAACTGTAGAGTAGCGGAAAAGCGTCTGTGTAGACTGCTGGGTCATCTTTTCCATTCTAACCCAATCTTCCCTGTAAGTAAATTACCCAACTATAAATTCGTCATATTCAATGAATTCACCTGCTTTGTTTCTTGGTCTCAAGACACCTCACAGTTCGGTGCTCACTGTACCTCTACTCCACCTTCACACAGCTACACAGCCCTTCACACTGCAGAGTAGTGAAGAGTGGACTGGAATGCACATGCGTGAACAATGACGACTTCACTGCACTAGTCAGTAGGGGCGGTAGACGCCATTGAGTGAGCATGTGGACTGTATGGCTGTTGCATTCAAAATGACTGAGCAAGCAGAGCAACAAATCTGCATCAAATTCCGTGTTAAACTTGAACATTCCTCCGCAGAAACTATGGATGATGCAGAAGGCCACAGCTATGGGCAAGCTGTGATTGGCAGCTTCATCACGACAGTGTGCCCACTCATGCATCATGTCTTGTGCAGAGATTTTTGGCAAAACATCAAGTCACCCTGGTGACTCAGTCCCCTACAGACCAGATTTGGCACCCTGCAACTTCGGGCTTTTCCCAAAACTAAAGTCACCTTTGAAAGGGAGGAAATTTCAGATCACAGATGAAATTCAGGAAAACATGATGGGGCAGCTGATGGTGACTGGAGAACTGTGTGAGGTCCCAAGGTGCCTACTTGGAAGGGCATCATTTTCCTATGTACGATGTTTCTTGCATCTTGTATCTTCAATAAATGTTTCTGTTTATCATATTATGTGGCTAGTTATCTTCTGGACATACCTCAATATATCAGCTTGAAGTATTACACACACTGGGATCATAGTGAGTTAGTACAAATACGTCTGCCTCCCTTGCCTCAATGACTTTGTAGCATTCTATAATATGGACTAAGCCATCATGTATCCAGTTTCTTCATTAGCAGATATCTAGGTAATTTGCACATTTTCACTATTACCAGCAGCACTGAATGAACATCCTTGCACATGATACTTGTGTGCATGTGTGTTCCACCAGGTATTTAAGGTGCAGATTAACACAGGCTAGTGTTATTGTTGAGGTTGTTGTTAAAGGAAACCCACGAGAGGATCTGCTTATCTCTAGAAACTCCCTAGAAGGCCTATGAAACATGAGTGCAAGTGTCTTCTTGGCTCCCAAATTAATTCTGAATGTGTCCCCACTCCTCAGCCCTGAATACATGTGTATTTTTGCTGAGAACTAGAAACATAAACATTTACTACAATAGTAAGCACAGGGAATTCAAAGTTGCATAGTTCACGATGCTGCCCCCAGGGGGGTTAGTTCAATGGGAGAAAAAGAAGAGCCATACACAACTAACTATACACCATTCCTAGCTCTATGGCCAAATGCTATTAGACTCCGGAAGAGGGAGAGGTTAGTTTTGCCTGAATTTAGGGGAGAAACGGCAGTTGAGCCTTCACGATATGGAATTTCCCAAGGTAAGGAGCAGGTACAACAAGGAGATTTGTTCAAAATATAGCAGCACTGATGATAAAGTAAAACAAAACAAAACAAAACAGGAAACAAATTGATGTCCATTAACAGATGATGAAACTAACTATATTTTCATACACAAAATATCATTCAACAGTTAAAATGACTGAACCGAACTCTATTAATATGGATAAATCTGTAAAAACACACATTTGAGGGGGAAAAGCATTCTACCAATGACTCCAAACAGCACGTGACAGAACAGGAGACGAGGCAGCACAGCGCTGTGCGGGGTGGTGGGAGCCCCACTGTCCCGGTCCACTTCCGGGCACCGCCACTCGCAAGCTGCATGATCCTGGGCGAACTGTGCCACCTTCCCATTTGCTCACCTGTAGACTGGGCGTCGTAATAGGATGTGTACACAGGGGGATTCTGAGCGTTTGAGGAAGTAACACAAGTAAAACGCCCAGGACAGGGCCCACCACTCAGTAAATGTCAGCTATTGTTGCAGTGGGGGGATGTTTGAAAAGGAGTACAGTATTTTGTTGAGTGAAACATACACATATGTCAAAGGTTAAAAACATGTAATAAAAAGACAATCAGCAAACTGAGAATAGCGGTTCCTTCTGCAGGGCAGGGCAGGGCAGGGCAGAGGAGGGCAGGGGAGGGCAGGAGATCAGGGAGAGAAGGAAAGTATTTCAACTACATTTACAATAACGATTAAGTTGAGTGGTCACCACATGCTTTTCTTAGATTGGTACCTATGTATGAAATATTTTATTTTGAACACTTAAAAATTAGTAGACGACATGGGGGTGGGATTGTAGACACCAGGGACCCCCCTAATTAGTTTTGTGTGATCTGGGGGTAAAGGTGCAGAGGATCCAGAAGGCGGGATCCTGGAGCCACCCACACTGTCTGGCTCCTCTCCATCATTCAGACCTCGGTTCAGACAGCCTTTCCTCGGAGAGAAACTTCCCCGAAACCCATTTTAAAGCAGCACATCCCTAGCCACTTTGTAACACGCTGAAGTATTATTTTATTGCAATGCGTTTATAACTCTGGGCTGTTGCAGTATTATTTTACTCGGTAGTCGTCCGTCTCTCCCCACTGTTATGCTCTGACTTGTCAACACTATATTTCCAGAGCCATTTTAAGTCCTCAATTTTTTTGGAGGGGGATGGGTGATGGATGGATGAATGAATGAATGGAGACCCTCCATTCTCAGGACACCTCTTTTTAGCGGACTGATTGGACTGGAGTGGTGAGGTAGAATTAAGAAAGCCCGAGGAAAGATTGGAGTGGGTCGAAGAGAAAGCAGATGAAAATCTGGATTAGAGAAATGGAGGGAAGCTGCGGCACCTCACGGTGAAGAGCCAAAGGCTGAAGGTGAATGGAGGAGCTGGAACAAGTCCCAGGGGAGGGGCGGGGCGGGGGGGCGGAACTTGGAGTGGAGGCGGGGCCTCAGCATGGGGGCGTGCCCAAATGGTAGGCAGGCTCTGGGGAGGGGCGGGGCCTGTGAGCGGACCTTGGGAGCGGCGCGCTGCAGCGGCGGCTGCGGCGGAAGATGGCTGCGGCCGAGGTGGCGGATACCCAGCTGATGCTCGGAGTCGGGCTCATTGGTGAGGACGCAGGCGCTGGCTTCGCAGGCCCGAACCCCAGTTAGGCCCTCCATCTGGGTCCGGAGCGGGCCCTGCTCCCGCCGCCCGCGGAGGGCAGGGCGTGACCCCCTCCCTGTTGGGCCTGGGCGGAGGGCTGCGCGGCCCGGCCTCCTGGGCACTGAGGTTCCCCCAGCCTTTCCGCCGGCGGTCTCGCGTGGCGCCCGCGGGTCGGGCGGCGGGGCAGAGGGACCCCTCGGGCCTCGTAGGTTCAGGGAGAGGAGCTCCCGAGGCTGCTCCGGGGCAGCTGCTCGGGCGGGACTCTGGCCTGGCCGAGCACTGCTCTCGGGCGCCGCGGCAGCGAGGGGCAGGCCCGGGGCCCCTGGGAGGGTGGGGGAGCCGGGCCTGACTGCCGCCCGGCCCCCGACTGGTCCGGATCATGTGATCGAGCAGTTCGAGACTGGGCGGCCAGCTGCACCAGCCCCGGAGGCTGCGCATTTGTGCATGGATTATCTCCATTTAACTCTCCCCTCGGCTTCGGGGGGGGGGGGCGGGTGTTACCCGCCCACTTTAGTGGTCTGATGCCCACTTTACCGAGCAGCAGCTGGAGGCCTAGGGTGTCATTCGTGCACCGACGCACGCTGCAAAGTGGCGGCGCCAGGACTGGGACCCGTGCGGTCTAGCCCCAGAGCCCCAGCTTCGGCCTGTGGAGGACGACTGCCGCCTCGTGCGACAGGGCTCGTGAACGTAGCAGGGGGGGTTCCCTAATCACGTTGGGTGGGATCCCGAGGAATTCATGGATGAGAAAGTACGTCGGGACCTCCAGTTGGCCCAGAGCCTGTGAGCCTGGTGCAGTGTTTCGGGGCTGGGCGTTTCAAGGAACCATTCATTCGGTGCGCGACAGCGAGCACCGGGTTGCTTGAATGAACGCCTGTCGGGTCCGTGCGTGCCGTTGCTCTTCGAAAAAGTATTATTCCATTGAGATTTATACACACCCGTAGACACTATATCCCTAGTATACAAGAACATTGCTTGGGTTAAGAAAAACTGGCGAAATGTGCTGATTACTTTTCAGTATCTCCATGAGTGCCTTTATGTGGGAATGGCTTCGTGTATTCATCTTTTTTTCTTAAATCATTTGTTTAATTTTTCAATTACAGATGACATATATAATATTAGTTTCAGGTGTACACTCCAGTGGTTAGATACTATACAGCTTACTAAGTGTTCATCCTGATTAATCTTGTACCCATCAAACATTTCAGTGATTTTAAAACTGCTTCAAGGCAAAGCCTAAAGTAACTTAGGCATCTTAGTCCAGCCTGAAGTACTTCTGAATTAAGGCTGAGTTAAACTGTGACTTTAATTTTAAGAGCAAAGAAAAAAATGACTTGCAATTCTTTTTCATGTTAACCTGAAAAATAAAGGGATTTGCTTCAAAATAAGAGAAGAAGCGCTCCTTCTCTTTATGAAATAAGGAGGGCCAGGTGTTGGTAATTGATGGAGCTGAGGAACGTTTTATTCTCTCTCCTTTTTTTTTAAAGATTTTATTTATTTATCTCTAGTGGGGAAGGGAAGGAGAGAGGGAGCGAAATATCAATCTTTGGTTGCCTCTTATGCGTCCCCTGCTGGGAACTGGCCTGCAACCCAGGCATGTGCCCTGACTGTGAATGGAACTGTGATCCTTTGGTTCATAGGCCCGTGCTCAATCTACCGAGCTACACCAGCCAGGGCTTCTCTCTGTTTTTTTAAGGATTTTACTTATTTATTTCTAGAGAGAGAGGAAAAGAGGGAGAGAAACATCAATGTGTGGTTGCCTCTCACACGCCCCCTACTGGGGACCTTGCCTGCGACCCAGGCATGTGCCTGGACTGGGAATTGAACTGGTGACCCTTTGGTTCACAGGTGGGCACTCAATCCACAGAGCTACGCCAGTCAAGGCTCTCTGCCTTTCTTATAGACTTGACATTTTTCATAATAAGTTTTTTAAGTCTATAGATAAAAATCTAAATTTTTAAAGGATTTTATTTATTTATTTTTAGAGAGAGAATAAAGGAAGGAAACAGAGGGAGAGAAACAATGTTGTGCAAGAGAGAAACAGTTGACTCTCAACTGGCAGCAACCCAGGCATGTGCCCTGACTGGAAATCGAACCAGTGACTTTTCAGTTCGCAGGCTGGCGCTCAATCCATTGAGCCACACCAGCCAGGGCAAAATCTAGATCCTTAATGCTATATATGTAATAACTGTTTCTCTAAAATTTAGGCTATTTTTGCCTGGAGTTTTTATTACAAGTAGGTTGTTTCTGCTTTGTTATCAAGGTGTTTATTTTGATAAACTGTATATGTGATTGGATAACCTTTATTATCATCATCATTATTATTATTAAAATTTGAAATATAGAATTCGTACAATCGGTATGTGACAAGATTTTCTCAAGTGGCCTAAAATTCAAGGTCAGGAAGCTAGGTTATATGAGCAATAGAGGTAGGAGGGAATTAGGGGGTCTCACATGCTCTGGGTTGCTTTGTAAAATGGGATGTTAAAAGTGATTCCACTAAGTGCTTCTGAGTAACCAATCAATTCACTCCCTTGCTGCTGTTTGACATTCTCACAGTGACCATCTTTCCACCGTAGAAAAGGACACAAATGGAGAAGTTCTGTGGGTGTGGTGTTATCCTTCCACGACAGCTACTTTAAAGACCCTGCTACTGAGAAAATGCTGCCTTACAGATGAAAACAGACTCCTCCATCCCTTCGTCTTCGGTCAGTACAGAAGAACATGGTTTTATATCACGACAGTCGAAGTTCCGGATTCTTCAGTGTTGAAAAAGGTATGACTGTGTAAAGGTCAAAAAACCAAAAATATTTAAAGTGATGTAAGGTTATGTCAGTAAGTCTTTGCTTTAGATTTTATCATGCACAATTCACTTGAGAACATTAAATGTGGCTTTCACTGGGAGTGTTTCCTTTCGTGTTTTCCTCTCGTTAACCCTAATATTCGTGGCTGTGCCTCACATGGTTGACCTTGCGGCTGGTGGAGTGCAGCCGTCTTCAGGTTGTAGGGTCTGATGGAGTGGAAACCTAGAAGTAGTTTCAAAATGATGGCTCTTACCAGAAGTGCAAAGAAGGATTTTTTTCTATCATCAAAAACTATTTTAGAGGATGTAATTGTTCTTGACATAGTCAAGAAAACATTTTTTATTCATCTGTGGATAATAAGGCTGTACTAAGAATAGAAAGGATAATTAAGGAAACTCATGTATTCAGTAGGCTTTTTGCTGTGTCATGTGGTAGGGACAGGATCAGTGTCACAGGTCGAAAACCACTGTGTGGCCGTTCTGAGCGTCCCAATCCCAAACAACCAGCAGGATTTTCCAAAGAAAAGAGTGTTGGGGAGCAGCGGCTGAACATACTCCTGGCGTGTTCCTGAGTAGGAACTTCTTTTGCCTTTTCAGGGACAGTTTTGCAGCCAATAACTAACCAGACTGTAGGCAGCATAACCAAGACATCAGTGTAAACTTAAGGAGTTACATTTAGAAAAACAGGAAGGGAAGGAAGGCAACTATTTAGAAACTGTTAGGAGTTTAAGACAAAACAAGGATTGGTAATCAGAAAATGTAAATTTGCAAAAGAAAATAGTTTTCCATGCCATAAAATCTTTCATATATGTTCATTAAGTTTTTGCTGAAAAGTCTTGGTGTGTCCTCAGGTAGAGTTACTATGTTTTATACTACAGACTGCCAAATTACAGCAACAGTGATTTCAGATCTGTTTTTCAGATTTCAAATAGCAAGCTTTTAGATTTTACACTTCAAAATATGATTCTTAAAAATATATTTCTTAAATGATTGGCTTTTATAGAGTTCTAGATTTTGCCTCTTGTGAAAATAATAGGTATATGATTATCAGAAATTTATATTTATAAAATGAACGTGTAAATAAATGAAGCTTATTATAACAGCACACTTTAGCTTATATAGCAACCTATAGAGAATGAGCTATTTCAGGGACTGTATAATTTTTACTGTAAGAATTTTACTGAGATGTGTTCTTATTGTTTCCATCCTTCTATTTCATTAATGAAAAATAGTTGCTGTGTTGGTAGGTCTGATATAACATTTCTAGTTCTGCTTTGATGAGGTTAAGGGATTTTAAATGGAAGTTTACATTTTTTTATATTTGAAATGTTTTTGTTTTGAAAAAACTGAAAGTATTACATTCTTTTGTAGTAAATTCAATATATGTACAGTTACATAACATTTTTGTATGTGTGGATGTACATGTAAAAATATAAAACAATTGAGGAGTTGTTACATTTTGGTCTTTTTCTTTTAATGCTGTTATGTCTTGTGCAAGAGTTTGTTAGAATGGAGTAATAAAAATTAATTCTATTAAAGTATCTTTAAAAAGTTTACTTTTTTTGTTTCTTTTGGACAGGTGACTCATTTTTCTATTGTTCTGACCGCCAAAGATTTTAACCCAGAGAAATATGCCGCCTTCACTAGGATATTGTGTAGGTCTGTATGAAAACTATATTGAATGCTAATGTACACAAATGCAGATCTTAGTAGTTCCATAGCAGGTTTCTGTACTGAGGAAGGAGGTTTCAGCCCTTTGTCTCGCCATCTTAATCTTTACTGGCCCTGCAAAGACTGTTTTATAAAGAGGAACTTTCTCTTCTGCTTCAATGATGTTGCTCCTCTCATTTGGGAAAATGGCGGAGGGGAGGAGAAGCAGTTTGCACAACTGTTCTTCCTGGGGGTTTTGAGTCAGTTGCCGTTTTCGGTCTGGTTCTCATTTCCCATCCAGAAACTGCCTGGGCGAAGTGCTCAGTGAAGTGGTCAGCTGCTTCATGTGTGTCAGGGTCCCTGTGCGGGGGTCATTTGGGAGAAGTTCAGGAGCATTTTGAATTATGCAAAAACACAGGAAAACCTTTCTTAGCTGGAATGCTGAGAGGCTGACAAACTGATTCGTTGGTTAATTGTGATTCAAATAGACTCCGTTAGTTTCATCCCAGCTGTTTAAAAACTTTATCTAAAATATACCAGTGTACTCTCTTGCCTTGGTAAGTAAATCTAATGGACTTCATGAAATATTCTCATGTGGTAAGAATAGTGGCTTTTTGTATGATGAAGACTTTAGTGTTTGTTTGTTTTTAAATTAATGTTGTCTCTAGAAAGACTTGAAAGTCTAGTATGTACTACTCAGCTCTCAGGCTCACACCCAGGAAATCGTTTGGTGGGGGTGCTAATGAGGGGAGTTTTGTGCTTCCCACTCTAAGCCCAGTAAATGGTTTGCTTTTTGCCACTTTTATGTGCAACATGGCCTAGCATGTGAATACTGTCTCCTTACCTGACAGCTTCGGTTAGGTTGTAGTTTGACGAAATGAAGTCTTGCTGCTTTTGCAGCAGCTGTGATAAGAAAGACCTCTTGCCATCACAGGATATGTTCCAGGTGTGTGGCTCACTGTGGAACTGTCTGTTGATTGGTAGACATTGTCTTAATATGGTACTTAACACAGAGAGAGACTGCTGTTGCTGGGCGGGATGCTGTCCAGAAGCCGTGAACTCAGAACATTGCAGAGGTGGTCTCAAACAAACGCTGGACCCCCGTCTCATTTATTGGGTTAGGGCGAGGTGAGTTAACTAAAGTCACTGAAATGTTCCGGGGCCCAGAGGGAAGGTTGGTTTGGAACCCACTCCCTGACCAGGAGGGAGCCCGAGGGTTTCTCAGCTTCTGTGGTGCTGTGGTATTGGCGCATTCTGGGTTCTCTTCTGCCACAGCGCGAGGGAAGCCAGGACTCAGAGCTATTGCCAGCCGCCACCCAGGCCTCCCACCCCTTCGTGAGCTCTCGTGCTTGACCTTACATGTACTCGTGTATGCCCATGTACTCGGGTGCATGCATGCCTGTGTGTATGTGAACACACTTTCTCCCCATGAACACTTTTATGACCATTTTTTATCTTCAATTATATGCAATATTATATTAGTTTCGGGTGTACATTTTTTAAATACTGAAGAGATTGCTGTGGACGTGCCCCCTCCATTTCTAGTGAGAGAAGCAGGCAGGCATCCCTTCCCCAGCATGCCGCTCACAGAGCCGGGGAGGCCTGCACTGGGGGCGGTCGTTCAGGAGGGTCATTCCTTGTAAGGGACACAGGTCAGCTGCCATGACCCCCTTCCTCTTCGGCCCCTCAGCTAGTTAGTGGCCCTGGTAGAGAGCCAGGGTTTCGTGCACACTTGGAGTCAGTTGTCCAGGCCAGGTGTGGCAGCTTGTGGGTGACCATCTGAACACGTTCCCCTGGGTTGTGCTTCGTGGTTTTCCTATGGAGGAGTTTTGGGGGATTCTTTCCTCTGTTAGTCTCTTGTGGCTCACGGCTGTCATGTGGGAAGTCACCTTATTCTACTACCCTTCTTATATTTCTCTTCTCCGTTACTGTATATTGTTTCTATTTGATAATGGTAATGTTGTGTTTTGGGGTTTTGTTGGTGGTGGTGATAATGGAAGCACATAGTTAATTAAAAAATGTAAACAGTACAGAAGGGTGTGCAGTGAAAACTAAGTCTTTTTCCCTGTTCCCAGCCTCCAGTTTTACCTCCTGACCCCCCACCCCCAAGGCAGCTCCTGGGCCTGTTTTCTTTATATCCCGCTGAGATCTCTGCTGCGCACATAAGCATGTGGACCAGTTCATGGGCTTGACTGTGTTTTATAAATATGAGGGTGGACCGTAGTCATTATTCTCTGCCTTCTTTCTCAATTTGTGCATTGAAAAACTCTGATGATTGTCAAAATTTGGTAAGCAGTTAAAACACTTTTTTTCATTATCTTAATGAAACTTAATGTACAATAAGTATCATTTTCAAGTGATTTGTCTTAAACAATGATTTTATTTTCTTCCCAATTTTCTGTTCCTTCAGCTGCTGAAAGGGCCAAGTAGACCCAGTCCTGCTTTCCAAGCAGAATTTAGATTTAGTTACTCATAGGAAGAGATTTCAGGGGCAGAGATTGATTTCACATGCGAGCTATAAATGGAGCCAGTTTCCTGTCAGCATTTTCTGGAAGTTTTTAACTTGATGAATGTATCTAGTGTGCATTTATTGCCAGAAGCTTAAAGGAGTTGGAGTTCTTAATGATTTAAATACAGTGATCTCTGGAAACTCTGATAATAAATATAGGTTCTACAACTAATTACTGCTTTCTCTGTGAACAATGCATAAACCTCCTTTCTTGTCGAAGGAAATTCCAGCAATAAAACAGAGTTATGACTAAGAACCCCAGCTGTGATTGTAGGCATAAAAAGAGATAAGTATGCAATGTTCTTGAGAATGGGGGGGCCTCCGAAAGCCCGTAGTTCGTTCTCCCGCCTGCACAGACTGTAGCAGGCTTTCCCTGATAAGAAGAGAGAGCCAGCTTCAAAGAATTGTCAGAGATCTCTCAAGTGTTTTTTTTAACACATTTTAAAATTAAATCTTAAAATTATGTCATGAAAAAATTCAGGCATTCAGAAGTGTGTTAGCAAGTTGGCTTCAGTTCTTTAGAAAGTACCCGTGCTGAGCCTTGGTGCATTTCTCCACGGGGCTCACACGAAACAGAAGCATGATGGCTTTTCGTCCTTTGTTACAGAATATACCTGAAACACGGGAGCCCGGTTAAAATGATGGAGAGCTACATTGCAGTTCTCACGAAGGGGATATGCCAGAGTGACGAAAATGGCTCTTTCCTCAGCAAGGACTTTGGTGCCCGAAAGGCATACCTTGCAGGCTCTGTCAAAGGTAAAAAGAAAAGAGAAGAAACAAAAACCCATCCCAGGTGATTTTGTCCTGACAACAACAGAAATCCTGAAGCCAAGGACCATCTGTTAGTCGACTCGGATGGTCCATCTTTCCACATACATCATGTGCATGATACTTATTTTTTGTACAGGAGAGTTCTTCAGCTCCTCCACGTTTGTGTTTGATTTGAATTCTGTCATAGGAAAGCAGGCTTTTGTGGTGGTCTTTTCCAAAAAATCTGACTTTAAATACAGAAATGGTCTTTCTATAGCTAGAAAGTGAGCTGCACTTCACAGGGTCAGGTCTGCACTGACTTCCATAGTTTTCTTTCCTTCGATCTTAGCTGCTAACTCTCCCATCTGGAGAGTTCAAGCCCCTGACCCAGGCTCCTAGTCCAGCTGCTCTGGAGAATCCAAAATGACAGAGACAGCCCGGGGCCAAGCCACTGACTTCTGGGCCCTTAACAAAGGGAGGAGCGGGAACTCCAGGGTCAAAAGGACTAAGTAGTGACATGTAGGGGCATGGGGGGTGGTTAGTGAGCGATTTGTAAACTGTAAGGTTTTATGACACAGAAAGGTGCTGGTTCCCTTCATACCGCTTACTCCACTTTCTTGTGAGTCTGGCTTTATGCCTCCAGCATCATGAGTCTTTCGGGGGGGCAGGCGTAGGCAGCTGTGACACCCCTCCTGGGGAGCAGATGTGTCCACCAGATAGGATGCTTCTGTACTTCCAGTATTTACCCTTTGTGTTGAAAATGAGTTTGTACTCATATGAGAAGAACTATTTCCAATAGAAACTTTATTTCCTTCTTTAACATTTAATTCAGTAACATCATTTCTTTTGTTTTAAGACATCGTATCTCAGTTTGGAATGGAAACTGTTATCTTACACACGGCACTGATGCTCAAGAAAAGAATCGTCGTCTATCACCCCAAAATAGAAGCTGTCCAGGAGTTTACCAGGTATCCTCGCCGATCGTTAAGAAGTGTAAACTGTCGGCAGCCAGTTTGGAGCGGTTGGTGTTACTATACACCCTGGTTGCACATTTGGTGGAAAAAGAGTGTGTTAGACTGGAGGTGAAGTACCATTTTTGTCTAATGGTCCAGTTTATTTATTTACTTATTTTTTAAATGTACATTCTTTTTTAAAGTTTTGGTTTTGGAGAGGGGGCTGGAGGGGTAAAGAGAGGAGAGAAACACCGAGCGGTTGCCTTGCCTTCCGTACGTGCCGCAGCCTGGGCGTCAAACTGCAGCCCAGACATGTGCTCTGACCGGGAGTGAGGCTGCGACCTTGTGGTTTGTCAGATGACACCCGTCCAACTGAGCCACACTGGCTGGGGCTAATGGTCCGGTTTATATTTAGCAATTCAAGGTCACTGAATTTGGACAGATTCTTTAAATTTAGAAGTATGAATAGTTCAGAGTAAAAAATATTTTAGGTGCCCTGGCTCGTGTGGCTCAGTGGATTGAGTGCTGGCCTGGGAACCAAGGGGTCGCTGGTTTGGTTCCCAGTCAGGGCACAGGCCTGGTGTGTGGGTTCAGTCCCAGTCAGGGCACATATGAGAGGCAACCAATTGATACTTCTCTCTCACATTGAGGTTTACCTCTCTTTCTCCTTCCCTTCTCTCTAAAAATAAATAAAGAAATAAAATCTTTTTTTAAATTCTGAGAAGACAATTTATGTGTTCTGTGAGCACATAAAGGGTACTGATATTCCAAGCCTGTCTTTTTATCTGTAAAATGAAGATCATACTGATCTTATAAGCTTATTTTTAGGATTGGAAATAATTTGTGTACAGTTCTCAGCTGGTACCTCACCCACAGTGTGCACTTGAGGACTAACTGTTGTTGTGATATAGTGATCACCTCAGCCCTCACACGAAAGGGCCAGCACTTCTGCTGGCTCACTCCGGCTCACTCTGGCTCCCAAACCCTGTGCTTTTCTGCCCCATCGTCCTTTCCTTCTGCGTTTATGCCACTAACACTAAGGCGCGCAGAGCTCTGAGATATGTAACAAGGCATCCGGGGGATCACAAAACCACAGATAAATTCATCACGCCTTCTTGGAATAGCCATTTTACTGGAAGGTGTTTTTTTTTTTTTAATATATATATTAGAGGAAACGTATTTTGTATAAATAAGCACAAAGTGGTTTACAAGTCTGACCGGAATTAACTATGAAATGAGAGGCTTCAACCATATTTTTATGCATATGGTGCCGTCCTTAAACTCAGGCTCCCTCCCCGTGACGGTCTGCGTGACGGGGTGGTTTGGAGGGAACCTGAGCAGTGGCTCTCTCTGCCACCGTGGAGATCTTTTGACCTCAAGCTTTGAGTAGCTAATATGGCACCAAAAGCAGAGTTTTAAACGTTGCATTACTTTCGTTTGAAGTCTGGAGGTGTTAGCCCTTTTATGGCTGGTTCTTCCCTCCACCCGTGGTAGCCAGTTTCCTTCTGGAAGAAGTGGGAAGAGCTCAGGGGCAAGCCAGCGGCCGGTGTGTTCTCGCTTTGCTTCCGCAGGACGCTGCCTGCCCTGGTGTGGCATCGACAGGACTGGACCATAGTGCACTCGTACGTGCACCTGGATGCCGACGAGCTGGAAGCCCTGCAGACGTGCACAGGTAGACCCGGGGTCCCGGGGCAGGCGCTGGCCTTCTCTCGGGCTGCTGTTCGGTTCTTTCATTTGTTTTTTTGTTTGTTTGTTCTGTGCAGTTTTGTGCGTGTGCATTTCTAAGGAGAGTACTGACCGGTTCTTACTTTCGTAAATGGAACCAATTTTTGCCCCCTTTAAAACCTTTAATTTAGAAGAAAATTGGGTAAAATACACTTAACAAAATTCATCATCTTAATCATCTTAAGTGTGTAGGTCAGTGGCATTAAGTTCATTAACAGGTAGCCATCACCAAAACACAACTTATTTTTCACTTGTAAAGTTCTCATCTTAAAGTTTTCTTATTAGTGATTATTTTTTTTATTGATTTTGAGAGAGAGGGGAAGGGAAGGAGGATGAGGGAAAGACACATCTGTCCATTGTCTCTCATTTGCACTCTAGCAGGAGACTGGGCCTGCAACCCAGGCGTGTGCCCTGATCAGGAATTGAACCAGTGACCTTTCCCTTTGCAGGGTAATAACTAACGCAGCCACCTGGTCAGGGCTCAGTGATTTGATTTACAGTTTAATTTGAGCCATGGCATACTTTTCCTTAAAAAATTATTTTAAAATGATGGTTTTATACTTATATAATAATTGTTAATAATAAGATTCTGGGAATAATTTAATAATATAGTATTACCTATGTCTAAAGTAATCCTAACTTTGTAGTGCCATCATTTTTTGTTTAAGTTTCTTTAGATTTAAGGTTAAAATGTCCTTTATACATTTTTAGTCTTTTTTTAAAAGACTTAATTTATTTACTTTTTTAGAGAGAGGGGAATGGGGGAAGAAAGAGAGGGAGAGGAACACCGATCGGTTGCACACCCTGCAACTGGGGACCTGGCCTGTGACCCAGGCTTATGCCCTGACTGGGAACCCAATCGGTGACTTTTTGGTTTGCGGGCCGGCACTCAATCCACTGAGCCACACCAGCCAGCACTGATTGATTTTTCTATACTCAGCATGTGAACCTATTGCTGGTCTATATGCTTCAAAAGTCTCTGAGTTTGTGAATTTTTTTCATTATCGTGGTATCTTTTGAGGACTAAGAATCTTAATGTGCTGAGATTTTTTTAGCTGTTACGATTTTACTTCTTATATTTTGTTTAAGAAACATCTCTATACCAAGGTTAGAAAGATATTCTATATTTTTTGTGTAAATTTAAAAGTTTTTTTCTTCTTCATTTAAGTCTTTAATCTTCAGGGAATTGCTTTTTTTTCTTGGTGGTGGTGTGCAAGTTTGGGAGCTGATTTTGTTTTTCCCCATTAAATAGCCAATGGTCCGGGGAGGTACCCCCTGGCCCAGTAGTCAGTAGTGGCATTTACGTTCCGTATCACGTTTCCTCACATGAGGGAGTCGGTGTCTGGGTGCCCTGTGCTAAGTGGTTCGTTCTGTTGCAGTTGCTTTTAAATGTCCTCATCTGGTAAAGTAAAGTTTTAGTAATGATACATTGGCCCTCAAAAAAATAATTTTTTTATTGTACCACTCTGTGAAATCCAAAAAGTCTGGGAATCACTTTCTTAACACCAATTCCAAAGGTCTGCTAATTCCGGAGTTGCCTGATTCCTTTACCACTTCTGATACCAGCCCTGAATTTGGGGAGAGATGATGCTGTTTCTACCTACTGTCCCTGAGAAACACGGGCATTTGGCTATGATTTCTTGGAGACAAGGCTCTAAAGGGGGAACGCTGATCAAGAGCATCCTTGCTCTCTCGTGCCTCATCGGTCATTTTTGCCCCTAAAGCAACAGCTGAAAAGTAAAGGCTTTTCCTTCAGCCTCCTTCCTTGACACTGAAGTCTGGCTTTGGAATCTTTTGAGTGTGTGAGTTTCTTTGGGCAATTGACAATCAAGTAGCCTTAATGAATGCCACAGCTAATGTACCCTGAACAAGTAAAACGGTGGAAAAAAGCAGCTTTTAGACTCAATTCTCATTTGATATGTTCACAATAGGATTTCTTCATATTTTGGTCACATTGGTCCTCTTTGTGATGCAGGTTATGTTGCCGGATTTGTGGACTTGGACGTGAGCAATAGACCGGACCTCTATGACGTGTTTGTGAATCTGGCAGACAGTGAGATTACCATTGCTCCACTTGCAAAAGGTTGGTTCTCTGGTCTGTTCTGTTGTTAATACGAGACATGAGCAAGCCTTGCAACTGTTTTTTAGGCTGATTCTCCAAAACCAGTATTTGAGGGCCTTCTTACCCTGCTGTGCTGAAGCTGGAGGGATTTTTTTTAAAGATATTATTTATTTATTTCTAGACAGAAGGGAAGGGAGGGTGAAAGAGAGGGAGAGAAATATCGATGTGCGGTTGCCTCTCATGTGCCCCCTACTGGGGACCTGGCCCACAACCCAGGCATGAGCCCTGACTGGGAATCAAACCAGTGACCCTGTGGCTGGCACTCAGTCCACTGAGCTACATCAGCCAGGGCCGGAGGGATTTTTTTTGTGCTGGAAACACAGCATTTATTCTTATAGGCCTAGCCACGTTAGTAATACATCCTGGATGCTCTTGCTGTACAATATGTTAATAAGATGGTCTGTTCATTTGTTTCTCCACTTTCTATTAAAGAAGGTTCATTAGTTATCTATTGCTGAAAAAAAGATCACTTCCAAACTTAGTGATTCAAAACAACAGTATTTATTATCTGGCTATTTTGGTGGGCCAGGAATTCAGGACTGGCTCAGCATCTCTCCGGAGGTTTCGGCCAACATAGTGCCAGGGCTGCCATTGTCCGAAGGCCCCAATGGGCTGGAGGCCCCGCTGCCCAGCTAACCCACGTGGCTGAAGGCAGGAGCCCTCAGCCCACGGGCCTCTCCATAGGGCAGCGTGAGCGTTCCCGTGACTGACAGCGGGCTTCCCTGGGAGTGAGTGATTTGAGAAGTGGAGAGGAGATAACATACCTTTATGCCCGGGTGGCCACCCTTTGGGCGTCTCTGGGCCACAGTGGAAGAAGAGGAGTTGTCTTGGGCCACACTTTAAGCACACAAACACTAACGAAAACTGATGAACAAAAAAAAGGTTTTAAGTAAATTTATGATTTTGTGTAGGGCCACATGTGGCCCGTGGGCTATGGGTTGGACACTCCTGCTTATGGCCTGGTCGCAGAAGTCATATACCATCACCTCCTCCAAAGTCTGCGTGTGAAGAGCAAGCCATTAAGTCTGGGCTGCACTTAAGGGAGAGGAGCTAGGCTCCACCTCCCGAAGGAAGCAGCGTTAAAGAGTGGGTAGACATTTGTCACTGCACCAGGGGTGGCTGTGACAAAGTGGGGAGAACTGAGTGCTGGCCAAGCAGGGGTTTCTGTTACAGACTCTCCGATGAGATGTTGTCCAGTAACTCCAGATGGACAGAATCAGAACTAGTTCAACTCCAGACGGACAGAACCAGAACTAGTTTGCTTTGTTTCATTCCAAAGCGACAAACATCATGCATGTTCACGGTGAAAAATTCAAAATAGGAAATCACCTGCTCCCTTTTGTGAAGCAAAGGTGATGGAAAACCATCTGCAGCCACTGAAATTGCTGAGAGGGCGGCCATTTCCTTGCTGCTGTCTCTTCTTCTGAGCGTGTGCAGTGAGTGGGCTCGTCCCAGTGGGCAGCACTGGCGCTCGTGCCCTGAAGTGACACACAGAAATTCCTGCTAATCTCCTTGCTGCAGGAAGAGCAGTGTACGAGGGGGGCCCAAAGAAACCGGAATTTAGAAACAACTGTGTGTGTATTCTTACATGTTTAAACGTCAGTCACCTTCAAAAGGACTCTCCATTTGATGCAGTACACCTTTCGAGATGTTTTTCCCTCTGCTCAAAATCATTTTTGAACTCATCGATTTTGATGCCTTCTAGTGCTTTTGCTGTTTTTTGTTTCATTTCTTCAACATTGGCAAAACATTTCCCTTTGAGGACTTTTTTCATCAGGGGAAACAAAAAAAAGTTGCTCAGGGCAGGATCTGGTCAACAGGGAGGATGAGGCACAGGGGTCATGCCATCCTTGGTCAAAACTGCTGAACACTTAGCGCAGTGTGGGCAGGTGCACTCACAAACTGCCCATCGTGAAATGGGCAAATGTGCTGAATCTTAAAAAAAAATTCACTGAAGCCGAATACAGCCTCTCATAACAACGCCAGCTGGTACACTGATACAGATGGGTTCCTAGAACACTCACCCAGTAAGGGAAGCCTGTACTACAAGGGGTCTGCCCTCCAAAAGATAATTCTGTTTTTTGGGGGATCCCCCCTCATATATAATTAATGCAACTTGGGTTGTTTCCTTTGCTCGTTTCTAAGGGCCTTTGTACACTGAACGTTCAGCCAGCTTCTGCAGAACTAACAGGAGACACTTCTTTCACAATCTTCCCACCAGGAAGATAGACTTGAATTCTTAACTCTAAAGACCTGGACAGGAAAGTCAGGCTTTTGGCTTAAACTCACAACTTATTTGTAGTCAGAAGCTTTCATGAAGTGTCGTCTAGAAGAAAAATTAAAATTCTTATCAGGCAAGTGTGAAGGGAAAATTTGGTTTGATAGTGGTGTGTTTTATTTGGACATGAAGTATATCTAATCAGTATTATGTCTTCCTTACCTCCTAGCATCTCATCATGTTTGTGTTTAGCAATAAGATGTAAGTGTGGTGGGTTATCAGTTGGGTTTTGATAACTCCCTCTATGATCTTTCAGGTTTTAGTTAGATGGCATGGTTCTTTTTTACTGTGTGAACTTCTAAATATTCACACAACATATTCTTCATCTCACCAGAGGCCATGACAATGGGCAAACTGCACAAAGAAATTGGCCAGCTAATTGTCCAGTCTGCAGAAGATCCAGAGAAATCTGACAGCCAAGTTATACAGGTAGGTCCTTAACCTGCCAGCTTAGTCCTGAACTAGTGTCGCTGGGCTGTATGTGAGGAGCTGCGTGTTGTCTGCACTGCACATGACACAGGGAAGTGACTGGGAGAGGCCAGCAGGCTCTCGCTCATGAGAGTTTGCAGATGGACCTGCTGGAAGTGAGCAGCGGGCGCTGCTGTGGCCACTCAGGGGTGCGGCTCTGAGGACAAGAAAGTATGGGGAGGTGGTGCTCAAGCCAAGCATTTATGGTGAGAACTGTAACTTCTAAGTGGTCTGGAATGCTGTTCTGGATTGGCCAGTGCATTCTGTCCTCCTGGCAGGATTTTCATGGAGAAACACACTGTAAACAGAAGGTTGCTGCTGAGCAGGGGGACTAGATAGAGTCTCAATCTAGCTAATATATCTCCAACCCCACCAACTCAGCAGACCCTGATGTCATAGCCTGTAGGGCTAGCTCCTCTGTGGGGTCTCAATCTAGCTTTGATATATTTATTATCTCCAGGGTATTAATAATGCAAGCCCCTGCCAACTCAGCAGACCCTGGTATCATAGCCTGTAGGGCTAGCTCCTCTGTGGGGTCTCATCCAACAACGGTGTCCCTGTGGACCCTCTCCTCTCCCCTTGCCACACTGGCATGACAAGTGGGTTTTGTTTACGCCTCTCCTTGTGGTGATAAAAGCCCCTGTTCCACACCCCCTCTTGCCGGCCTCCACCCCTTCTGTCTGCTGCCAGTTTGCATGGTGTATTTCCAGCAACTTGCTCCTCTCCTGCACAGATATGCTTCCAGCCTCGCCTCTCCTGGGCTCTGCTTCATCTAGACCCACCTTGTACTCTGGTGGGGGCCAGGGGCCTGGGATGGTCTCCCCCTGTCTGCACCTGGGGGGCACCTCTGATGTGAAGGTCCTACTCATCTGGTTACACCTCTTTTCTTCATTAATCCATTTATTTACTTAGATATTTCTTGAGCACTGACTATGTCACACACTGCACAGGGCATCGCAGTTACAGTGGTGAGCAAAGTCCCTACCCTATGGCCTGTGTTTTAGTGGAGTAGATGAAGTGACAAGATCTTTGTGAGCCATGATAAATGAATGCTGGGACAGAAACAAGGTTGATCAGACGGCCCTCTGAGAGAGTGACATGTGAGCTAGAGGGTGCTAAAGAGTGAGGGACCACAGGTTTTGACAGGGACCCGCGAGCAGCGCTGTTCTTTCTGTTCAGTGCTGGTGGCCCGTCCAGCTGCGGCCAGGAGGAGTGGGTGGGTCTCGCCCTGTGGACTGGAAGACTGAGACCCTCCTTTCCTGCCCTGTGGGTCATCATGGCCTATCCATCCTTCTTCCATTGCCATTGTAGTAAAAACAGTGACTTCCCAGCGTTGGTGAGATGTGTAAATTTGAGTTACATTGTTTTTCATGGACTAAAAGTGATACACAGTGACTCAGTATAATGTATGATGAGTGTGCCCAGCATGTTGTAGGGGTACGAAAACGTTTGAATGTGTTAAAGTGATGTCACAAATGTTTGAATGTGTTTGAATGTGTTTGATGTGCACTCTGGTGAGTCCTCAGCCCTGCAAAGGAATGTCACTCGCAGAGGAGGAAAAAAGCCCCTGTGGCAGGTGCGGGGTGTCTTATCCCAGGCCGAAGAGAACCCTGGGAAGAGATCTGTTCTAGAAACAGTAGTAGGGTTCCTCAAAGAGGCAAACACAGAATTACCACATATCTGGCAATTCTGCTTCTGGGTATTTATCAAGAGGAGTTAAAAGCAGGGACACATGTTTGTACCTGCCTATTCAGAGCAGCTCTGTTAATAATAGCCATGGATGGATGGATAAACAAAATGTGTACATACACAATGGAACATTATTCAGCCTTAAAAAGGAGTGAAGTTCTAACACACTACTACAATGAACCTGGAAACATTATGCAAAGTGAAATAAGCCAGACACAAAAGGACAAATATTGTATGATTGCACTTAAATGAGGTACTCTGTAGGCAGATTCATAGAGGCAAAAAGTAGAATGGTGGTTACTAGGGGCTGGGGGAGGGGCACGGGGAGTGCTTGTTTAGTAGGAACAGAATTTCCATTTGGGATGATGGAAAAGTTCTGAATGGGGGCAGTGATCTCCACTCAACACCATGAATGCACTTAATGCCACCCAATCACATGCTTAAAAATGGCAAAAGGAAAAATTTATCCATGACATTGGTTTTTGTAAGTTTTTTTTTCTCTAATTAAAAAATAAACGTCCTGGCTGGTGTGGCTCAGTAGATTGAGCACCAACCTGCAAACCAAGTAAGGGGTTGCCAGTTTGATTCCCAGTGGGGGGGGGGGGGGAGGAAAAAATAAAGCTGATCTGATAAACTTTTTTAAATAGAAGGAAGAATTCTATTACAATGCAACAACTGCTCATTTTGGTGCTAACATATTGCATGTTTTCCTGTTTTTATTAAAGGATATTTCCCTGAAAACAAAAGAAATCTTCGCCAACCTGGCACCGTTTTCGGAAGCTTCAGGTGATGGAGAAAAGCTAGTTCTCAACCTGGAGGCACTGAAGCAGAGACGATTTCCACCAGCCACAGAAAACTTTCTTTACCATCTAGCTGCAGCCGAACAAATGCTGAAAGTCTGACTGTGTGTCTGAACGTATCGCTGAGGACCGATGCAGAGCTCTGTGACCGTGATTCTCCATTAACTGTGTAAAATACTGAGAATAACAAAGAAAATGGTATATTTTATTGATTTATTTGAAAGTATTGAGGTTTGACCTGAAAAGCACTGAAACACACATGAAAACACTTCTGATTTTCTCTTTGATTAGCCTCACGCCCACCGTCAGTGCCGGGCTGAGCACTGTGACTGCCACAGATGGGTTGTAGGTGGCCTGTGGTCCTGGAGTCAGAGAGAAGGGCTCTGTCAAGTTCTCGTGTAAATCACAGCAAGTCCAAACGCCTTCCTTATCATAAGTTCCCGTTTGTCTCATTGTGCTCCACAAACTAATGTTTATTTTCAGAAAGCTGCCTGAAATTTTGCTTTGTATTCTTCTAGGAAGAACTTCAATTCCTCATGAGGAATTCTACTTTCTGAGCCAAACTACTAAGTTTTCTGCAGAACCGTCTAGAAGATCATTCAAAAGACCCTGCAGTTGCACTTTCTTATAGATTGTTTTTCTTGGCCTTTGAACATTTTGCCTATTTTATGAGGGTTTTGCATAGATTTTATACTTGAGTAGACAACTTTAATAATCCGTATTTATACCGTCTCAGAGGTAAGCGTTTGGCAAACTTAAGCCATCAGTACTCTTCAATTAACCTTGTTGCTAGCATTATTATTTTGGAAAAGATACCAGTCCTCATGTGGCAGAGTAAATAAGCAGCCCACTTTAGACATAAATGTCTGTATAACTGAACTAGCAACTTTACGTAGGTGGTGAAGGAGAGTGAGAATTAACTTCTTCAAGGGCCCAAACCAGAGAGCATCTTCGGATAATTCCAGTAAAAGTAACCTGGCCACCTGTGAAGGTAGCCGTTCCTGTCCAGGTCTGTGCCTTCCTCATGGCCGGGACCTAAACTGCACACTGAGCAGGACCAGGTTTGTGCTTGTCACTTCAGTGTGTGTATCCATACTGACTGTGACAGGTCACTTCACAGTCACCACTGCTGTCTGCCTAAGTTTTATCCAGGAAATGTTTGCAGAAAATTGTGTCTTTATTGGGTCTTTCATTTATTCTTGCTGTTAGACTTTTGTTTAGTAAAAATTCAAAGTAGCCCTTTCCCTCCCTCTTTGGGTAGGGGTGAACCTGAAATGAGATTTTGTTTACTAAGGCAAACAATTTAAAATTAAATCTGCACTTTATGGAAATGAATACTAACATCTTTTTTTGCTCATTTTTGTATTTCTATATTAGCTAATGATCAAAGTTGTTAAAATTAAAAATGTATGATGCAGAAATAAAATGGAAATATTTTGATACTCAACAAAGTTTTAGGTAGATGAGAAATTGTGCCCTTCCTCTAATTCTCCCCACTCCAAAACAAAACAACTGTTTGGCAACTGCAGATGTGCTGGGGGATTATGAAAAGACCTGTTTGAAAGGGAAGGGGCCCCGGCAGGTGTGACTCAGTTGCCGTCCCACAAAGAGAAAGATCGCCATTCGATTCCTGGTTGGCACACATGCCTGGGTCATGGTTTGGTCCCTGGTCCAGGTGCGTAGGAGAGACAACAATTGATGTTTCTCTTCCTTTTTCTCCCCCCCCCCCCTCTAAAAACAAAATCTTAAAGAAAGTGAAGGTTCCTTTCCTCCACCCTTGGCTCGGCCCATTGTGTCCCTGCCCTTACCCTCCCTCGCCCATTCCCAGGGCTGCTCCTTCCAAGTGTCACCTTTGAAAAGAGGCCCTCACGTAGCCACTTTCCTGTCGGTGGGCAAGCCTTCGCCTGGTTTGCACATTCTGTCCTGTTTACTGTAAGCCTGGGGCTATCCTGAGCCATCTAGTAGGATGATTTTACTAATTTCGACCATTTAGGCTGTTTGTTGTGAAACCCTTTTCACCACCATTCCAGCCCGAGGAAACTGAAAGGCCAGACATCAAATTGGATGGTGTGGGGCAAGGTGTGGTGGACACGTTCCTCCAGGGTGCAGGTGTCTGGGTGCCGACTCTGCAGTGCCCTGGTGTGTCCTGGACGCACAGGACAGTTCCTGTTGTCAAGACAGTCTACAGGGGCACAGGGTCTGCAAATGGGCCGTCGTGCTGTGGTGGGGCAAGTGCTAGACAAGTGCTTTGGGAGCAGCACAGGCGGGGCACATGATTCAGCACCGTGAATCCTGGAAGGCTTCCAGGAGGAAGAGACTGATGGCCACGTCAGACCTGAAGTGTAAGCAGGAGTTAGCCCAGAACAGAGCAAAGTGGGTGTGAAGGCCCAGGGCAAAGAGAACACAGCCCGTGAGGAGCTGGGTGTTGCTCCAGAGGAAAGGGCGCAACAAGAGATGAGTAAGGCAGACCCCGAAGTGCTAAGAAGTCACCGAAGGCTTTTAAGCAGGTATGGTTTAGAAGAGCCGGCTGGAGCACAAATTGGAGGGAGCCAGACAGAAATCAGACGAGTGATACCAGCAGGGGCTGCTGTTGGACTGAGCTGGGCTTCAGGGGTGGCCACAGAGTGAGCTGCAGAGAGGACTCTTGGCTCAGTCTGCTGAGTGGGAGTGGGGGGAAGCGGGGTAAGGGAGCCGACAGTGATCCTGGCTGATGCAGGTGTGATGGGGACACTTCCTGAGGTTGGGCAGTCTCAAGCAGACACCCAAATGGCAAAGTGCAGGGGCAGCTGGCTGTGAGCCTGTTGCAGGGCGGAGCCAGCCCAAAGACTGGTGGAGCATCCAGCCAGCAGCGAAGTGGGAGGTGAGGTGCAAGCAGTGAGTAGACAATCTTGGAAAACATGTGGCTATGAATGGGGGTTTTGCTTTTTCAATGAGGCAGGTGACTCAAGCAGTTGAACTACTACTGGGAAGAAGCAGACGGGGGACACAGAGAGACCCTGAGGAAAGAAGGGACAAGCCCAGAACCTAGGGCCCAGCTGACCTTGCGTGGAGAAGAAAGGCCGGGTGTAGGTGGAGGAGGTTCGGTGCCAGGAAGTTCCACGGCTGGCCAAGGGCCTTGGTTTAGACTGTGAGGCCGGAGGCAGGGTGGTTTGCCAGTCGGGAGAAAGGAGCTGGGTGGCAGGTGGCAAAGATTTTGAGCAGTTGTACAAAATGGGAGCAAGCTGACCCAAGGAGACAGGCTTACTTTGGGGGTGAGGCCTTTACTGGCTCACCAGAGGCTCACGTTTACCTGGAAATGGCCCACTGATTTTACGCCTGTGCCCAGGGCTTCGTGGACCCTTCATGTCTTCAAACATTCAACTTGAGACGAGTTTATTAGTAATTTCACAGTGTCACCTCACAGGCTGACAAATCGAAAACGGAACCTGAACATCACCCACCCCCTTGGCAGTCCCGTGGGGGCTGGGTGGACAGGACAGCGGACAGGACAGCCTGCCCTTTCTCTTCCTCCATCCAGGCTTCAAAACCGCAGGCCCGACAAGCCTTGACAAGGTGTTTGCACCTGTGCCTGTAAGCTACCCTGTCTGCGCAGACACCTCGGGGGGTTCCAGGAGACCTCTGGCACCGTCCTCAAAATTGAGACCTTGAGAGGAAGGTTTTCCAGCAGGAACCAAGCAAACTCACCTGAACTCACCCCTACACCCCTCTGTTATAGAAGAGTTCTGTCTCTTCTGTTGCAGACTGGATCTCCTCTTCCAGTTTACCACACTGTATCTGAAAAACACAGTGCAGTTCTTAGTATTTACAGGAAGAACTTTTCTTGCCTTCGAAGCCAAGGGTTTTTTTTTGCTTTTTGTTTTTTTAATTTCAGAAAGCATTTGTTTTATGGTCCAACTTTTTTTTTTCAGTGATGTCTAATTCAGAGCAAAAAAACACAACCTAACATTTTAAAAACATTCTTCTGGAAAATTCCAAACATAAGCATATGTGGAAAGAATATGAGCCTTCATGTACTCATCACTCAGCTTTAACTATTAACTAAACGAACTGCCAATCACACAAGATTTAAAACCTGTGAATGACCCAACCTGCTGCTAAGCCGCTGCTCTACTCTCTGAGTATCAACGCAATCAGAAGTGATTGTTTGCAAGGAGTTCACTTTTACTGCAATCTGACTCTAACAAGCTGTTCTAAAAGGGACTGTGAGAATTGAAAATATTTTTTTTCTATTTCATTCTGTTTTAATGAGAAGCTACTCCTCTCTCTACCCCTGTCCCTCACCACCCTCTTTTTAAAAGATATTTTATTTATTTATTTTTAGAGAGGGGAAGGAAGGGAGAAAGACAAACACCAATCAGTTGCCTCCTGCGCACCCCCCAACTGGGGACCTGGCCTGCAACCCTGGTACGTGCCCTGCCTGGGAATGGAACTGCCAGAGTTTCAGCTGGCAGGACAATACCCAGCCCCACTGAGCCACCCCAGTGAGGGCACAACTATCTTAAAAGTATTTAAAACTTCTGTTATATGCTGGCAAAGTTGCCTGAATTAACAATTTTATAAACCTAAACTTCAGAGAATTTGGGTTTGGAACAAAAGCATTCCATAAACACACAGGGTGGAGCAAAGGTAGGTTTTACAGCTGTTTGTACACAAAATAATACAATAGTTACTAAATAATAATACAAGAATAAACTGTTTTGCATATTCATGATTGTAAAACTACTTTAGCCCCACCCTGTAAGTGCTTTGAGAGCATGACTGATTTGTAACTTCAGTGGCACAAACAAGCATTTGAAGTTTTCAGACAGGAAATGCCAGAAATCGCTAATATCTACTACTGTTGACAGTGTCCTCTCTAACAGATAGAGACTGAGTCTCAAAGAGTGTGAGCAAGTTGACCAAAGCCATGGAGGAGCGGGGTCTGAGTCCACGCAGGCTCACTCACCACAAATGGCAACACAGCCTAGTCTATAGAACTGCGCAGTCCAATACAGTAGCCACCAGCCCTGTGTGAGCACTTAAGTCAAAATTACATTACGCTTGCCCTGGCTGGTGTGGCTCAGTGCGTTGGGCATCGTCCTGAAAACTGAAAGTCACTGGTTTGATTCCCGGTCAGGCCACATGCCCAGGTTGCCTGCCAGGTCCCCGGTTCAGGGTGTGCAAAAGGTGGCCAGTCCATGTTTCCCTCTCTTCCTTCTCCTCTCCTTAAAAATAAAATCTTTTTAAAAATTAGATTCAACTTAAAATTCAGTTCCTCATTCACAGTAGCCACATTTCAAGTGCCCAATGACCACATGGGGTGGTGGCCACCGTGTAGGACCCCACAGATACAGGGCATTCCCAGCACCGCAGAGACTTCCGCTGGGTGAGGCACTGCTCTGGAATGCGACCGATTAAAATATCCCAAAGTTTGTTTAACACCCCATAAAAATGTTTCTGATATACCATCAAAAACACAGAACCCAAAACCGCACAAGCGACTGGGGAGATGGGATTCTGTGTAAACAATGTTATTTTCCTTTAGGCTTTGGCAGATTTTTTAGAAGGAGAATAATTTCACTCTCATAACGAGGAGAAGAGAAAGTTACTTTTTAGGAGAAAATCAAACATGGGCACTTACCCGTTCGATATTGGGGAAGACGCTAAAGGAAACCGGCACCATCAGCCCCATTGCCAAGATGGTACAAGACAGCTTCAAGGTCCACAAGGACTGTGGGAATCGCACGAATAACTGGGTCCTGTAAGAGATGAGGGCACCGGGCTTCTTTCAGGGGTGGGCCCTCTGCCCTACTGGAGGCCAGCTGTCTCGCTCACTGGCGCCGGGCCCGGGGCGGGGGCGGGGGGACCCCATGTGCGTTTGCTCACTGGAGTGCCCCACCACCCTATGGGGTTTGTGTTGCCCTCATCTCTTTCACATAAACAAGAGAAGGCAGCCAGCGTCCGGTCACTGTATTTTGCCATGTATAAGGCGTATAAAAACACGGGTGTGCATTATACACAGGGGTGCGCACTACACACGGCAAAACACGGTAAGTCATTTGTCCAAGATCCCAGAGCTCAAAAGTCAGAGGTCAGATCCTAGAGCCCGGGTTCTCCACCCAGGGCTACGCTGACACATGTGACGTCCTGACCCTGACCTTTTCCAGTGTGAGAGACAGTGTGGGAAGATGCAAAGCACCCCAGCCCAGGAGTCAGAGCCCAGGGCCCTGGGGCACGAGCCAGGTTCTGCTACAGACAGACCAGGTGCTCTCAGGCAAGTCGCTTTCCCCTTCTGAGCTTCAGGTCTCTTCAGGTTTGAAATGAGAGGGTTGCATCAGCCACAAAGGTCACTCCAGCTTGGACACCATTACAGCCATGGGATGGCACGTGGTCCTTCTGGGCACTGCAAGGTCCCTGGGAAATGAGGGTCCTTTCTCTGCCCCAGGCAGCCAGTGCCATCACACAGGCATCCAGGGACTGACCAGAGGGCCCCAGTGTCCCAGGAGCCAGCTCTGAGGCCATCTGGAAGATGCTGACTGAGCTAAGTCCCCATGCCCATCTAGCAGGACTGATCGTGGGAAGTACAGTTGGCACTGCCCAGAATGCCGCTACTTCATGGAAAAATGCTCCTTACATGGTTCTAGCAGGTGCTTCCTAGCTGACCACGCTAAACAGAGTGGATTGGTTCAGCAACAGGCAGGTGGCCCCACATGGGCCAATAAAAGCCTTCCCTGGGAGTTTGTGAACTGAGTGGAAAACGTTCCTGCCTCCCCTGGGGTGTGCTGTGTTTTTCTCTCCCTGGGACATGGTGAGGATATAACCAGGACACTCACAACCCTCAACAACATGAAGAATCCAGTGTGTGGCAGGAGAGGAAAGGACTGTCCCCACACTTCAACTTACGTTCAGCTGCTGTGGGCCCCACTCCCTGCCTGTACCCAGTGTCTAACCCAACACTGCCCCGCTTCTGGCCTGAGTTACTGCAAGCTGGGCTTCTCGGATCCCCTGGCCCCACTCCCAACAGGCCATTTCTTGCATCTCAAAAGAGATGACAGTCTCCCAAATCTGGGGCCACTTAAGCTAATTGAATACGTGCCTGGAGCAAAGATGGGAAAAGAGGCCTGCGCAATGCTCACAGCACATCAGAGCGGGGGTACCTGTAGATCAGCCAAAGCCATCATTCTACAAGTGAGGAAACACGCCTCAGCAGGTGCTGGGACACGCCCAAGAACACGGCGCTGACCGAGGACAGCGCCTGGGCTGCCCGCCAGGTTTGCTGGCACAGGCGCATCTGGAGTGCACACCTGCCCCACGTTAATCCTGCCGTCTCAACCGTAACGAGAGCGTTTGGTAGGAAGACCACAGAAGCACCGTCTTCCCGTCCCACCCGCCAGGCTTGGGTTTGACGCGTTTTTGTAAGGATTTTGAGGGTGTCTTACTGTTTATAAAAGTGTGAGAAGACTTCGGGAATCAAAGCCGAGGTGCCAAACAGCATGGCTCTGGATGCGGCTGTGTCTTTAACGGCCTGGTAGAAAGGGGAAGAAGGCAGCTTAGGACTCGCAGTGAGATGATTTCCAGGCACCCTGTAATTCACGAAGGAGACAAGCAAAGAGCAACTCTCCTTCTTCACTTAAAAAAATAACACACCAGGAGAGAGGTGGGGGCAGCCCCTGACATGCATGTGTATGTAGGGCGGCTGGGACCGATGCCAGGAATGACTGAAGACGGGATTCACGCCCCACCCTCCCGACATCACAGTGGGCTCCATCGGTCCGCCAACCACTCCGAATAAAATGTTAAGTATAAGTAAAGACAGCTGACAGACAAATCCTCTCCTAGAACCAAATGGCAGGCCCCTTGGCAGAAATGCTGGTTTTTGCCAATGAGGACCAAGCTATGTTCTCCTTTAAATCCAGTACTCTGCCACTGGCCCCCCTATCCGGAACAGCTCCCCAGTTATTCCCACCCCTTCCACTGGGGGAATGCTCCAAAAGCCAGGTCAGAGTGCACCAGCACGGGGTCACACCCATGGGGAACATGCGTGAGTCTGCCTGCACACACCCATCTTCTGTTTGTGCAATTAAAAGTGTGCTATGGTGTCCTGGTTGGTGTGGCTCCATGGACTGAGCACTGGGCTGCAAAGCAAAAGATCTCCAGTTCGATTCCCAGTCTGGGCAAGTGTCTCAGTTGTGAGCCAGGTTGCCAGTAGGGGGTGCATGAGACGCAACCACACATTGATGTTTCTCTCCCTCTTTCTCCTTTCTTTCCCCTCCATCTAAAAATGAATAAATAAAATCTTAAAAAATAATAAAAGTGTGCTATGCAATTTTATTGTGCACAAACATGTATGTAAAGTGTACGACATTCTGTCACCTCTTCTATTACATACATCATGTAGTGAACATTTAAAGACATAACTTACTGTATGGGCTTTATGCACAAAATCCTGTGTACTCAGGACAATGTAAGAGACTTTCAAGGGGAATTACGGGCACAGGTGACACCACGTTAACTTCAGAACCCAGACCCTGGGTGGGACACAGCTCCACATACAGCGCCACTCGGTGCAACAGAACCGGCACAGAGGCTCCCCCAACCCCCGCACTCCCATTTCCACCTCCCAGGCCCACACCTGCTATCTGCCTGTCACATGAATGCTCGGCTCGTCTGACCCTCTGCAGCGCATGCCTCTCCCCAGCGATGACAGAGGGAGCCAGGGAGGCGGGCTCTTAAAACACATTTTCAGAAACATTACATAAAACTGCTCCAGGCCAGGAAGAGAAAAGTGACTGAGAGCGTGGTGTGTTTCAACGTCCGTGGGGTGAGGCCGGCCTGTCTCCACGTGTCCCCCGTGCACGGGGAAGACACTCCAAACAAGACAGCCGTCATTCGGAAGCACTGGGAAACCAGTTCCAGTTTGCGCAGAGTGGCTTCCAAGGCCAGGCAAGGGGAAACAACATGGCCCAGGCCCCTGAAATCTGATCAAAGGTGCCCTATTACAATCAGATATTGCTGGTTACGCAGTTTCTGAAATTTTAGCCAAAGAAAATAAACCTTTCGGTGGCAGGGAAATGATAGAAGAAGGCTTATGCTTACGCACAGCTGCAGACACTTTATTCTCAAGAGAAAGATAAACTTTTTTTTTTTTTAAAGCGGACCATCAAACCCTTCTTTTACCCTAAGTTGGCATTCGTGCAAAAAAATGAGGTTCCTCCCGGTGAGATGGACTAGATACCAAGACAGATAGCAGGGCCCGAGGTGCCTCCCCGCTGGGAGGCGCAGCGCTCCCAGCCCCTGGAGAGAAGGGGTTTGGACTGGTGACGGTGTCCGGACCCCAGCGCGGTGCCTGGTGCACCAGAGGGGCTGAGGAACAACTGTGTATTAAACATCTGTTCTCTCTTCAGCTGTAGGAAGAGTTCCCAACACCACCAACACCCTGTAGTTAAAACAGAGTTGAAGAGCCCTGGCCAGTGTGGCTCGGTTGGTTGGAGCATCGACCCGCACACCAAACAATCGCAGCTTCCATTCTTGGCAGGGCACGTACTGAGACGGAGGGTTCGATGCCCAGTTGGGAGGCCTATGAGAGGAAGCCAATGGATGTTTCTCTCTCACATCGATATTTCTTTTGTCTCTCTCCCTACCACTTTCCTCTCTTTCTAAAAGTAATGAAAAAATGTGCTCAGGTAAAAATAAAAAAGAATAAAATAATACTGAGTTAAAGAGAAACGCAAACATACAAGGTCCGTCTGGAAAAAGTCCAGCCACTGTTAAATATAATGAGAATGGTTTGCATGACATTGATGTAACCTGGCAGCAGCCACAGAGAGCGGACTGGAATGCTCATGCGTGAACAATGACAACGTCACTGTACTAGTCAGTGGGGGCGGTAGACACCACTGAGTGAGCACGTGGACTGTGTAGCTGTCACATGGAAAACGACAGAGCAATCAGAGCAATGAATCTGCATCAGATTTTGTGTTCAGCCTGAACATTCCTCCACAGAAACTACTGGGATGACTCAGAAGGCTGCAGCTATGGGCAACTGGTGATTGACTGGCAGCTTCATCCCAACAACACACCCGCTCATGCATCACTCCTCATGCAGAGTTTTTGGTGAAACATCAAATCACCCAGGTGACTCAGCCCCTCTACAGCCCAGATTTGATGCCCTGCAACTTCTGGCTTTTCCCTGAAATCATCTTCAAAAGGAAAGAGATTTTAGATCATCAGTGAGATTCAGGAAAGCACAAGAGGGCAGCTGATGGCGACTGGGAGAACTGTGTGAGGTCTCAAGGGGCCCGCTTTGAAGGGGACCTAGGGGACATTATCCTATGTACAGTGTTTCTTGTATCTTATATCTTCTTCAATAAATGTCTCTATTTTTCATAGTGCGTGGCTGGGTACTTTCTGAACAGACCTTGTATGTCCAGAGAGTTGCGCGTGAACATTCAAAGCAGCACTGTTTATAATGGCTCCAAACTGGGCACAACCCAGTATCTACTGCCTGGAGAATGTGGTACAGAAATGTGGGAGAACGTGGGAAAGCAGAAACGTGGTACACATACCCTGGAACACTGCTCGGCAACAGAAAGCCGGATGAACTGTGGAGGGGCCTCGAAGGTCAGCGATGCTGGACACGGAAAACTAATGTGCACTTCATTTACATGAAATTTCTGGGAAAGGCCCTACTATGAGGACATAAAGCAGATCAGTGTTTCCTTGGCATTATGGGTGGAAGGGGAGAGTGACCGACCATCACGAGGGAAATTTTTAGGGTCATGAAAATGTTCTAAAATTAGGGTGATGGCTGCCTAACTGCTTAAATTGATTAAAACTCATCAAACCATAGTCTTTTTTTTTTTTAGAGAAGTTTTAAACATTTTAGAGAGAAGGGAAGGGAGGGAGGAAAAAAAGGAGAGAAACACGGATCAGTTGCCTCTCACCCACCTCCCAACCGAGGATCTGGCCCGCAACCCAGGCATGTGCCCTGACCGGGAATTGAACTGGCGACCTTTTGGTTTGCAAGCTGGCGTTCAACCCGTTGAGCCACAGCAGCCGGGGCCCAGGCCCAACTACAGTCTCACAATAAACTTCACAGTATGTAAATTACACCTCAATAAAGCTGTTAAAAACATCTCTTCAGGGTGGTTTCTTAGGCACAGAACCTTCACTTCGAAAATGAAGTATTTTATTTCTGGCAGAAGTTTCCCTCCTTGATACTGGCAATTACCACGTCCCCGCTGTAATTCATGCAGAAAGGTAGCCATTATTTTGAGACAAGCTAATTTGAGGGACTGGTAGAGACACGGTAGCACGGGACTGACGGCTGGTAACTCAGCTGTGAATCATTGCTGGAATTCAGAGCAACGCGTCTCACGAGCCGAACAACGATGCGTTTCCTGACCGAACCAGCGCCCTCTTTCCCCAAGCTCCTCTGCCACCCACGTGCTGGGAGAAAGGCTGCCCCGCAGGCCCTTCTCTGGCTTCGTCTCAGGCTGCTTCATGTTGCTTTTCATGCTGTTTGCAAACAACTGCTTCACATTACAACTCTTCAGCTGAAGTCGCTGCCCAGGAACCCCCGAAAGATCTCATTTGTTACAAAAAAATCTTTCTTACAAAGTCCATACCCAAAATAAAACTACCATAGGCTTCTGGAGGTCCTTAGAGCTGAATGTATACAAGTCAGTGTTGAAATGAGCAAAAGAATAAGCTATTTAATAATAAAAAGTATCAAAAACTGAGGACTTTTTAAAGAGTTTTGGGCCACAGCATTGGATATTCTAAGGCCATCCCTGACAGCAACTCAGGCCCGAAAGATGAAGAAATCTGCTGTGAGTGAGAGAGGGAGGTTCTCGGGGGTGCAGAGAGGGTGTCCCCTGACTTCCATAGCACAGAGCAGGCTGCGAGGGCGGATGCTGAGCTTGCAGAACACGATCTCACATTCGCTCTGACCGCTGTGGCTTAGCCAGTGGGGCTTTGTCCCGCAAAGCAATTCCCAATCAGGGCACATGCCTGGGTTGCAGGTTCAGGCCTCAGCTGGAGTACAGGGGGCACCTGGTCAATGTTTCTCTCTCACATCGACGTTTCTCTCCCTTTCTTTCTCCCTCCCGCCCCCAAACCAAATTTTTTTAAAAATCTCACACTCCGAGAGGCCTAGCATTTGGCAGACACCCATCTGTAACAGTCACTCTTATGGGTCCACTCGGCGAGGCCACAGCTCCCACTTAATCAAATGCTGCGGTGGGGCTGTTCGGTAATCGGGTGACTTTAAGTAAAGCAGCTCAGTGTGGGTCGGCCTCACCTGATCAGCTGAAGGCTGTAAGAGCAAAACCTGAGGTTTCCCACAGAATCACTTCTGCTGCAAGACTGTAGCACCAGCTTCTGAGTTCCCAGCCTATAGGCCTGCCCCACGTATTCCCAGCAGTACAACTGCACGGCCAGTTACTAACAATAAATCTCACCATGTATCTGTATGTAGACAGGCAGGCAGACAGACAGACAGGCAGGCAGACAGACAGACAGGCAGACAGACAGACATCCTATTGGTTCTGTTTCTCTGGAGAACCTGTACTAATACATGATCATTTTTCCCCTAATTTTTATTTATTTATTTTTAGAGAGAAGGGAAAGGAGGGAGAAAGAGAGGGAGAGAAACATTGATGTGTGAGAGAAACATCCACTGATTGCCTCTCATACCGCCCAAGTGGGGACCTGGCCCGCAACCCAGGCATGTGCCCTGACTGGGAATCAAACTGGCAACCTTTTGGTTCAGAGACCGGCACTCAATCCACTGAGCCACACCAGCCAGGGCACGATCTTTTGCTTTATTGTTTTACCATCACATGAGGACACACTTACTGATTTTAGAGAGAGTGGAAGGGTGGGGGAGAGAAAGAGGGAGAGAAACATCAACCGGTTACCTCTCTCATGCAACCCTACCAGGGACTGAATACACAACTCAGGTATGTGCCCTGACGGAGAATCGAACCCGCGACCTTTTGGTTTACAGGACAACGCTCCAACCAACAGAACATGGGCCAGGGCTAATGCACAATCTTCTAAACATCACAGTGCACGACATAAAATCCCTCTCAGCATGAAGGAAGATAGGATAAGAAAAATCGGATGGGAAATGTGAACTCGTTAGCAGCTCTCAAACAGAAAATTCGATTCTTTGCCCAAAAGGTAAGCACTGCTGCATCTCCCTACCTTTGCCCCGGCTTTTCTGGAATAGCCTATGACCTTGCCTTCCTTGTCCATGACCTCGATCCCTCGCGTAGTCTCCAAACTTCGGGATGCAAGAACATTCAGTGCACTGACGTGGGCTGTGGATTAAAGAAGAGAACACGACAGAGATGAGCTTCGGTCCAGTGAGAAGACACCTTTTCTGGGGTCAGGTCTCTTTCTCCAATGGCTGTGCTTCCCCCCAGAGGTCCCCTGACTTGTGCTGGGCCAACCAGGCTGTGCCCTGGGCTGCGGAGCGGGGTCAGAAGTGCTGGCCTGTCAGTCTCAGATCGACTACGACCCAGCCCTGGGTCCCAGCACCCCAGAGAGTCTAGCCCGGCTCCCTGACAGGATTCCAGGAGAAACCCCGGGGCCCCTGAAATACACCCCTCTTTTTGCTTAAGCCACTTTGTCCAGATTTCTGTAACGATTTCCCAAACTTTACCATTAACTTTCTGCCAACTCTTCAAAGTACTGGTTCTCAAACCCAAATCTGCAGCGTGAATTAGCGAACCTGTAGACTAGCAAACTTAAAGTAGTTGGTTAATATCTCTGCCACTCCCTTGGGGTTAGATCTCTGCTGTTTCCCTGCGACCCTAGGAAAGTTACTTGATGTCCCCCTGCCTCAGTCTCCTCATCTGTAAATGCAAATAATATTGCCCACCCATCAACTGCTGTCAGGGTCACATGAAACGATGCATGTAGAGAGCTTGTGCAGACAATCTTTAAAGCATAATCTGTGTTTCCAGGTTTATGCTTGTCCTTTGACAACTAAAGGGGTGCCTATGGAGAAAATGTCATCTCTCCAATCAAAGATCTGAACTGGGCCTGGGGGCACCTGCCAGCTGCAACCGGTGGGGTGGCTGTCCTCAGCCACTGTGCGGCCTCAGGGCCCTAGAGATGGGGAAAGGCTCAGAGACCACAGACTTCATGCTTCCTACTTACCGAGAATGACGACAGGCAAGGCTCTTCTTAGCAAAATGTTTTTCAGCTCATACTTTATTAGGAGTAAATGAGGGACTAACTAGAAAGGAAGAGAGAAAAATCATTACCACGTGGGGCTAAAAATCAGCTGAACACGCACAGGGAACAGCAGGGAACCGGCGTCAACCTCATTCCTACCGCAGGTCAGACCATGGCCAGGCACTCCATGTATTTTTATGTTTTATTTCTTTTTAAAGATTTTATTGATTTTTAGAGCGAGGAAAAAGGAGGGAGAAAGAGAGAGAAATACTGATGTATGAGAGATACATCGATCAGTTGCCTCTCCCACACCCCCAACTGGGGACCTGGCCCACGACCCAGGCATGTGCCCTGACTGGGAATCCAACTGGTGACCTTTTGGTTCCCAGGCCAGCACCCGATCCACTGAGCCACACCAGCCAGGGCTTGTTCTGTATGTTTGAATCCATGCAGCACTAAGCTATTCTCCTGATCATCAGAGGGATGTGTGGAGGTCTCAAGAAAGGACACTACCTTGTCCAGAGTCACTGTGCTATTCAGGAATTAAGCCAGGGTATAAACCTAGGCTCATATGACCCTAAAGTCTATTATTTTTAACCATTACCATATCCTGACACCCAACATAATATACAACGTGCACACCATGTTTACGGAGCATAAACTAACTTTTCAAAAAAAATAGCATATGCCTAGAAACTCAAAACACTCACATAATTATATGAGGGTGACAAGACTGCAGGTGGCTTTATTTTCTTCTTTATGTCGTAGGCATAGTTTACGAATTGTTTAAAATGGGATAAAGATTTGTAATCAGACTAAAGTTTTTATTTTATTCTGAGGAAAAAAAAAAGGAAAGAATTTAAAAATACCTACTGCAAAAAAGGTTGTAGAAGCAACGGCTCCTGCCCCTAGCAATACACTCTCATATAGGTGACGATTCTAGGGAGAAACAACAGTATCTGTTCAGCCAACGGCACAGTTTTACCCAGGAAAGATAATGAAAACAAAAAGTAACTCTCAAAGATACAATACAAAATTGCAACCCCGGGGCCTCCGTAGCACTTACGTAACTGGCGTTTCCGTTGATGATGTTGAATGCTGCGCTGTAGCTGCAGAGAGACAGCTGCGGAAAACAGAGGCGCACAGGTCACACACGCGTTTCAAGAGCAGAACTCAGTCATCGCAAAATCAAAATCATTGCTACCTGAGGTAAAATCATGGACTTGAGGCTTTTCCCCGGCACCAGGGACAAAAATACCTTTAAAGACAAAAAAATGCAGAGTTACAGTGTTTCGAAGGAATGAGAGCTTGTAAGAGCACAGAAGTCCCCCGGGGAGATGCAGGACTGGGGCCTCCAGGAGCAGGGACAAGGAGAGGAAGGTGTGAGGCAGGGGCCGCAGGTCTGGGGAACAGTGAAACTGAGCACCACCTGGACACTGAGGACACCTGGGGTCCCTCGGGGGTCCGTCTCTGAGACCGGCAACTGGGCAGGGCAGCTGAGAAGGATGCACTTCAAGGGGACACGGACACAGACACAGGGCAGGTGTGGAAGACTGACGGGCATGCTGTCACTTTGTGAGGGCACCCTGGGGGAGCCACCGAGGGGTGGGGCCTGCTGGGGGCAAGTCCAGGTCCCAGTGAGGGCCTGTGTCAGGGTGACTCGCCTGGGGAGAGAAGGTCAAGGGCCACTCTGTGGGCTTGTGGCATCTTAACTCGTGGCTCTCCTCCCAGCATGCTTTGGGCTTAGCGGGCGGTCAAAGGACCACCCTGTGATGTGCTGGATGCCTGACCGGCTAGGAGGGGGAATCCATTACTGTCTGTCAGGTAGTCACGGGACAGGGGTTGGAGCGGGAACTGAGGAGACGAGTGGACATCTTTCTAACCCCCCCAGGCTGCCTCCCCCGCTGACACAATGGCAAGGAGGGGCTTACTCACCATGGGCGTCATGAAAGGCAGGAGAGCTGGGGCAGAGAAGAGAGTCAGTGACCACAGAGAGGCCAGAGGGGCTACCCCGTCCTCCCAAAACCTCTTCTGCAGCCCCCCGCCATGCATGGACATCAAAGGATATTTTTCACTCACTCTTTTAATTTTCCTAATAAAAACAACTATACAAACATGGTAAGAGTGTAAATCAGTGCAGTACAGGAAGACCTAATGAGGCTCCCACCCACCAGTCTCCCGAGTCCCTGTCACCGAAGGTAAGCAGTGTTACCGGACACCTGCTCACCCCGCCACGTGACTTCAATACATCTGGGACACTGTGACTTATAACAAAACGTGAAGTCGCCCTCCTTCCCCGCTCCTAGCACAAAAGATCCTGCAATGCTCAGAATTTCCAGAGTGAGAAGGCAGCCTGGTGAGCATGCCCCTTCCACCCCACTGGAGCTTGTGGTGATGAGGTGACTTTAGGGGAGTCCCTAAGGCTGGGGGCTGGTTGCCAGGGCAACCAACCAAGTGATGAGAGGGCTGGACCATTCAGCCCCACTCCCCCAACCTCCAACTCAAGGGAGGAGAGAGGGGCTGGAAGTTTAGCTAATCACCAACGGCCAGTGATTTCACCAGCCAGGACAAATAATAAAGCCTCCATTTAAGAAGACTAACAGACCCTGGCTGGTGTAGCTCAGTGGCTTGAGCACAGGCTGTGAACCAAAGGGTCGCCAGTTCGATTCCCAGTCAGGGCACATGCCTGGGTTGTGGGCCAGGTCCGCAGTGAGGGGCATAAAAGAGGCAAACACACATTGATTGTGTCTCTCCCTCTCTTTCTCCCTTCCTTCCTCTCTACCTAAGATAAATAAATAAAATCTTCAAATAAAAAAAAGGCTGACAGAGGCGGTCTGGAGAGCTTCTGGTTGGTGAACACGGAGGTGCCGGGAGGGCGGCAGCCTGGTGAGGGCAGGGAAGCCTCTGGCACCAGGCCGGTGCCCTCACCCCTCACTCCCGAAGCAAAGGTGCTTCCGCAGCCCCGGACCCTGCTCTCCCCACACCCTTCAAACATCCTTCCTAAGCTGTGGTTTCCAGACTCACTGTCAGAAATCCTCCTCAGAAAAGAAGTTAAAATAAGGCAGAGTTTTGTGGCTATTGGCATCACACCCCACCCCATCACACCCCACCCAACCCGCATTCGGAAAGTCAGCGTCGCTCACCTGCAGGTCGGAAAGGGACGGGGATCAGTTTGCTGTCGTCGGGGTGCACGGCTGACTGCCAAGAGGGAAGCACACGGTTAGTGAGATGCTGGTTCTGTTATTTTAGGGCTAAAAACTTAGAAGGGGCTGAAATTTACCAGACTTCTCTTCCAAGCTTCGCGTATCTAAAAGGAGAAAACACAACAATAGCTTTTAAAGGTGGCTCGGCCTCAAACCAACCTCTCCAGGCTCATTTCCAATACTGCCTTGGCTCCACCTTTCAGGGGGCAAAGGGCACACCTGCCAAATACCAGACGGACAGAAAAATCAAAATAAACAAGTCAAACAAACAAATGAACTAACAACAAATCAAAATAAACAAGTCACACGAACAAATGAACTAACAACAACCAAAGAGGTGATCCACATAACAAAAATGACCTAAACATTAAAAAGCCCCAAGGCTCTGACCTTGGAGAACTCAAGGCCAACCAGGAGCTTACCCCTCGGCAGGCTGTATGTAGACAACACACCACTACCCAGGTCACTTGCAACAGAGCCAGCCTGGGAGCCCAGAGGCCCAAACATGTTCTTAGAAAAACTCCATTAAATCTACAAACTCTCCATTGGCTGCCTCATGGGACTGATGTTTGTGGGCTCTGCACAGCCCCATACACTCACTGCAAGGTAGGTAACAAACACTGCGTTTGAATCTTCAGGCGGGAACGAAGTCCTGTCCTGGATCACTACCTCTAACAGGAAATGGATTCAGACTTCTGGGGCCTGCCTGAATCCTGGAATTCGCCATAGGGCTACAGGAATCAGCTCTAGCGCATCCCCACTAATATCCACTGCACAGGAAAACCCTATGATTTTCTCCTTATTACTAGTTTCTACTCCTGGTACCTACTACTAATCTGATTTATGGGAAGGAATTCTAACTACAATGAAAAAACTGACCCACTTTCCAAAAGCAGGTCCCTTATTTTCAATGGCAAAGCTCCACCAGGTTTCAGACCATCTGAGGGCAGAATCACCCAAAGACCGGTCCTGAACCAGGTGCACCTGGGCACTCGATACATACCTTTTGGTCCTCCAAGTCACGAATAGCTGCATCTCCATTTGTTAACAATAGTTGCCTTGATTTCTCTATTTTTCCCTAAAATCAAGTATAAAGGTATCAAGCCATTAGCTCAACATAGCTCAGGGTTATCCACAGATTTTAAAATGACATGCTTATCACACCTGATTTCAGTGGGACGTGCAGTCAAGGCTCTCTACCTCTTGGGGGTTTCCGTGAGGACAGTGCCCTGTGTCGTCGATCAGACCTCCCAGCAGCTGACCCTGCTGGTGCTACCCTCTCCCTGGTCTCTGACGTCAACTGTCTCAGTGAATGATACCACCGTCTACTTGTCTGGGCGAGTCAGAAACCAGAAGTTCCTTCTCTCTCACTCACCCCCTCGTCTAATCAGTTCAGTCTTATTTCCTCTCTTTTTTACTTAATTTAAGGGGAAAACTTAAATGCAGAAAATACAAAGAAGCCCTGACTGGTGTGGCTCCGTTGGGAGGGTATTATCCCACAAAGCAAAAGGCTGCTGGTTCGATTCCTGGTCAGGGCACATGCCTGCGTTGTGAGTTCGGTCCCCTGTCGGGATGCGTGTGAGAGACAACTCATCAATGTTTCTCTCTCACACCGATGTGTTTCTCCCTCTCTTACTCCCCCCCTTCTCTTCTAAAAATAAATAAAACCTTTTAAAAATTAAAAAAGCAAATACAAAGAACAATTATATATTTATAATTCCCCTCACGCAGAATTAACAACTGTAAACATTCAGTTATACAGGCTTCTAATTTTTTTTCCCCAAAAAGAACCAGCACCCCAGTTTCATTTTCCTCCCCATCCTATGCGAGGTAACCACTATTACAAATTCAAGATATAAATTTCCAGTCCTTTTTTCTTACATGTATCCATAAATAATATGAAGTGTTGGATGTTTTATAATTTGCATAAGTACACTATTTATGCATCTTTCTTTTCCACTAAACATCACGGATACCATGTTTTCCTATTTAACATCATATATATTGTATGTTTCTACTTCACACGTGATCCCTAGATCATCACTTTTAACAGCTAATCAATATTCCACTGTATGAATATACAACATTATATTTTTCCACTGACGGACATTCAGATTATTTCCTGGTTTTCTCTCCTATGAATAAGGCTAAATGCCCCTCTGGGGCTGGCCCTCGAGGGTCCTTACTGGTGACAGGACCTCTCCTCCACATCCCTCAGCCACACCTGGTTCAAACCCTCGTCTTTCATTTGGAAGCTCTGCCTCCCTGTGAGCTGACCGCCTCACGTACAGTCTGGACCCCTCTGGTCACAACACACGGTGACCAGAGAAACTCCCTGTCACAGAAACACTGCCCTGTGGGCCAAGTGCAAACTCGTCTGGTCTGAATGACACACAAGGACCTTCGAGAACTGCCTGGATCCCCCTCACAAAAAGCCCCAGGGACTGGGTGACCTGCTCTCCTCCCCTGGGCTTTGCTTACAGTGCCCCAGCTCTCTCAACTCCCCTTCAACACCCTCCTCCAATCCCGTGACACCCCACCCTTTGATCCCTAGATCAGGGTCTGTGATGAGTGTGGCCCGTCTGTCTTCCATTCCCAGGGAGGTTAGTCTGATCCCCTGGAACCCCCAGCACCGGCCCAGGGCTCGGGAGGACCGGTTCCCTCTCTGTCCACTTTCACTTGCCGCCCTTCGGGTCTCACAAGCTCACTGGAGGGAATAAAAACACGCCGATGGGTGTGTGTGGGTTCTGGTATTTCGCCTACTTTCAAAAGAGACGCACAGACCTCCCGTTTCAGAATAAAACGTAAAATTCATGATCTCTGAAAACAAACAAAAAAAATACTTACAACTGAAATGACCAAATTTGTAGGATCCAATAACTCTGTCCACTGAAGAAACCTCTGAATAAAAGACTTGGGGGGGGGGAGCACCCAACAGGTTAACAGAGCAGGACAACAAAGGTACACGGTACTAAGAACTGCTAACATTATTTCTGAGAACCTAGTGGGGATGTCTGCCTGCAGCATCTCCTGAAAACCCCATCCTCCAGGTACAGCTTGGACGGGCTCAGGAACGTGCTGAAGGGAACCCAGTCAGAAAAAGACCCAGCAGGCTGGGCTCTGAGCCACTCCACTGCCAAATTGCTCTACAGAGCCCTGGCTGGCATAGCTCAGTGGATTGAGCCCAGGCTGTGAACCAAAGGGTCACCAGTTTGATCCCCAGTCAGGGCACGTGCCTGGGTTGTGGACCAGGTACCCAGTAGGGGGCGCAGAAGAGGTACCTGCACATTGATATTTCTCTCCTCTTCCCCTCTAAAAATCTTTTTTAAAAATCGCTCTGCAGGAATTAAACGGTTGACAGGTGGAGAAAGGAGGCATGTTTTGCTCCAGAGTCCCCAGACTTCATGGTGGTTCCGGTCTGAGTTCTGGCTCTGCAGGGACAACTTGGGCTCCCTGTCCCTTCTCTATTTCCCCAGCTAAAACAAACAAACAACAACAAAACAGCCTGGGCCCTACTTTAGGTAAATAAGGGCTGAAGGAGAACACCCTAGAACTGTGCCGTCCAATCAGCCACATGTAGCTTTGGAATCCTTGATACATGGCCAGGCCAAATCGCGATGCACTGTATGTATAAAATACACACCAGATTTCCAAGATTTAACCATAATTCGAAAAAAGGACGTAAAATATCATTGCAATTTGAAAAGTTAATATTTTGTATGTACTGGGATAAATACAACATATTAAAATTAACTTCGGATGTTTCCTTTGGCCTTTGGTAACGTGGCTCTCAGAAAACTTTAAATTATCCGCAGGGCTCCCACCATGCTGCTATTGGACAGCGCCGGCCAGACACTGCATGGAGGCGGGGCCTGCGGGACCGGCCTCACGTGTGAGTGGCCCAGCCTACCGATGTTGGGAGGCCGGGGGCTCCCCGGAGGACCCGTTCCTCCCCAACTTAGGCAACCCGACACTCAAAAACAGCTTAGGCAGCAGTGGGCAGACAGCTGCAAAAGGAGACTGCCTCCTCATTTGGGGAGATCTGCAAGGTGACTTTGTGGGGACCCTTCCTAGCCAGGCCTGGGGCAGAGGTTGCATTCGGGTAACAGCCCTGGATGTTGGCTTCCGGCAAGCCAGGGATTCCCTAATGTCCCCTCCCAGGGTCTGAGGTGGGGAGGCGGGTAACGCGACCACGTGGCCTGCTCAAGGTCACGCGGGCCAGCCGGCGACTCCACGCGTCGCGCCCCACCCCCAGCCGCGCGGTCCCAGGCCCTACTTGGCGTTCCGTGATCCAGAAGCGCACGTTGGGCTCCATGCGTCCGGCGGTGCTGCTGCGCCCCGGAGCCGTGCGCCCCCAGGCTTCCTTCTACTGCTTCTCTTCCTGGGAATCTACGTGATGGCTGGAGAGGCCGCCGCCTGGCCGGGCGCGGAGGAGGAGCCAGGCAGCGTGCTCCGCCCCGGGCGCGCGTGCGTCCCCAGTTCCAATCCGGGCCGCGCACCGAGTCTTAAGTGGCCGCAGGTGGCGGCTCCTGTGTCACCGTTTCCGAGCTCCCAGGGCCCTGCACACCTGCTGCTCGGTGTCACTGCCTTCTGGCGCCCCAGTCCCCGCGCACCCGCTATTCTGATGAGCCCACCTCTCCCACAGACCAAGTCATCTTGAGAGTAGCCTGCTTCGTCCCACTTTCAGGGCGGGAGGGGCACTTCCCAGAAAGTCCCCATTTCACAGCAGCAACGCAAGCTTTTGGACATCCCCTCGAAAATTCCTTCTGTTGCCCTCTGAAGCCCAGAGTACAGATATTGGGGATAGTCAAAACTGGCTACATAATTTTCGTGGCCCAGTGAAAATTGAAAATGAAGGATTGAGAAGAGTCGACATCAGAGCGTTAAACCCAGCCTGGGCCTTGAAGCTGGCCCTGGGCAAGTTTTTCCTCCAGCTCTGGGGCAAATCCAGGTCTTTCTGTTGATACCAGATCAAGCAGGGGCATTTGGTAGAGAGAAAATGCATCTCCCTTCTTCCTGTAGCCCCCTCTTCCCGCCCCCTCACTGGGATGGTAGGTGTTGTGTGTTGGTGGAAGCCAGTGTGGATGTTTAGGGTGACGGCTTGGGTGGAGGGGGTCCTCAGGAGTGCTGGGCTGGGGACCCAGCACCACCCATTTCTTGGTTGTGTGGTCGGAGTCAAGTCAGACTCCCCAGGTGTGTTTACTCACCTGTAAAATGAGGATAATAATAGTACCTGCCTCAGGGTTTGGGCCCCCAACACCCAGCCAGCCTTGCCTTCCCCTCAGGGAGCCCGGAACCAGGTCAGGGTTCGCTTCAGGCCCACGTGCAGCTCCTTTGGCTCAGCGGACCTGGCTCACTTTTCAACAACCTTCCAAAGTTCACCTCCTCTTTCAGGAAGCCTTCCCTGATGCCCAGAGCTGGGTAAAGAGCCCCTCCTCGCCTCACTGTTCCCCTGCGACCCAGGAAGGTATTTGCTGTACCTGGTAGTCAGCACACCTGTATTACTGTTGGCCCTACCCGCAGGTGTCACAGACCCAGCCCAGCTGACCTCTCCGCTACCCTCTTTGGACCCTTACAATCTAGTCTTAACCAAGGAGCTAGCGATCCTACGAGAACAAGTTGCTGTAACCCTTCTCAAAACCTGATGTTTCCCATCTCAGAACAGAACCCAAAGTTCTCGGTGTGCCCCCTAGGGCACTCTGGGCTCATTACCATTCCCCTCATCCGCTGCTCCGTGAAGTCACAAGGCCCTTCAAGTCTCCGTCCCCACTAAACTCCTGCCTTGGGGCCTTTGCCTGGAACCCTCTTATCCCCCGACTGCCCTCACTTGGTACACGTGACTTCATCTTCATCAAAACGCCGAGACAGGCACAATGATTGCCCTCGTTTCACAGATGAGCAAACGGACCTGGAGAGGCCGTCGCTCCCACAGGAGTGTCCGTGATGGGCCCACCTGCACCTCGCTCCACTCGATGTTCCTCCCAAACGTTCCACGTACTGTCCTGCTTGTTGTTTCCCCTACAGAAGGTCAGTGCATGAAGGAAGAGGCCTGTCACCGTTCGGTCACTCTTGTGCCTGCACAACAGCACGGGCACAAGGCAGGCACTGCAGGGTTTACGGAAATGAATAAATGCTTCCATTTCTCGTGCCCCCAACCTAACATGGGTTCCCTGGTGTGGGGCCTGAGTTGGGTTAAACGCTCAGTAGAAGTTTTTGAACATAGGAGGAAAACTAGAGCCCCACAGCATAAGCCAAACCAACAATTAATGGTGTTAAAAATGCAAATAGTTTTAAATGTTTATTTTTTATTATATACTTTACACTGAGCACTTCAGAAAATATAATTATATTGATTTCAAAATGCAATCCATGGATTCAATAAATATCCCCTATAATTACCTTCGATTGATTTTTTAAAGACTTTATCTTTAGAGGGGAAGGGAAGGAGAGAGGGAGAGAAATATCAATGTATGGTTGCCCCTCATGCGTCCCCTGCTGGGAACTGGCCTGCAGGGGCCCGGCATGTGCCCTGACTGGGAATCGAACCGCGATTCTTTGGTTCGAAGGCCTGCGCTCAATCCACACAGCTACACAAGCCAGGGGTCAATTGATCTTTAGAAATGTACATAGATGCCAAGTCAGCTAACAAAATAATTACATGAACCACAAATCTCAGAGATGAGGAACATGCATGACCAGTGAAGTCACTTTGCCACTGTGCTTATTTTAAAAACATGATTCACATTTGTTACATCACATGTGTCTCCACTCCAAGAGCTGAATTTAAACTAGATTGCTGATGCTAACAACCTAAAACTATGATCTTTGTTACCTCAAAAGGAAATTCAGTTCAATACAAAGAAATTCGAGGAGAGAATTCCAGGACGCCTGGGCAGAGGCTTTTGGTACCTGTCTGGCACTGGGGCCACACAAAGGTTCAAGTTGGGCCAAGAAGCACGCTTCCCACTGAAGACGTGATCAAAGAAACGGGTGGGCCAGGCCGTCTACAAACCTCCACACAGCTGGCCGTCAAGAGTTACCAACAAAGGACTCATGTTAGTAACTATGTTTAAAAAGCCTTAGCCAATGTTACAAAAACAAAACGGTTTTGAGTGATATTTGTGAATCCAAGCACAATTGCTTTCTTGCCTTCTACACAGAATGGGCTTTGTAATGCTAAGAGTTCCAACTGTGGTTCTTTTGAGGAAGCTGCAGGTACACGTGGGATGATCTACTGATTCACCTTCTCAAAGTATTCTTTGGAAGCAGTCGGATGTGGCTTGATCTGCAAATACAAACATTTAATTGGGTAACTGACTTTTAAGATAGTACTGTAGTTTCAAAAGTGAGTTGAAAGGTCTTAAGTTTTATGCTAAAGTTCTTTAACTTTTTAAAGGCTAGTCTGTTTCCTTTTAAACACACGTGTAAAAGTCACATTAACAGTCTGCCTAACCCCTGGTCCCACCTCTCAGCAGCTTCGCCCACTCACACGCCATCTGCAGCCTGGCTCCAAGGGTGGACGCCTTCTGTGGATATTCCTGACCAGCGGCCCTTGAGGCAGTGGGGGTCCCAGGGCTTTTGGAAAGGAAACCTACCGTAGGGGAATCCGGGGTCCAATTTGCTGGGCAGACTTCTCCGTGGGCTTCCACGAACTGGAATGCCTTCACCAGGCGGAGGGTCTCCTCCACGCTTCGGCCCACGGGGAGGTCATTGACACTCAGGTGCTTGATGACTCCATTGGGGTCAATGATGAAGAGACCTCTGCGTCACAAGTTGTCCCCATTAGTGCCTCAGCAGTACCAGAACTAGAAAGACTCTAACTTCTACCCTCTTCTGTCTTTCATGCTGCCTAATAAAGCATTTATTAAGTGCTATCATATGCTGAAAAACAAAGTTTCCACTGTTGTGCAGGACAGGACCAGACCACCATGGAAAACAGGCAAATGTGACCCGCATGTCACACAGTATCTAAAAGTCACAGAGCAGATACTTCTTTCCTTATTAGTGATTTAGCGAGCATTCTTTGAGCTGCTGTATCAGCTCTTGGCAAGAAACACAGGCAAATGGGAAGGGACAGAGCTGTATTTTATCTGTATTCAGTAAATACTTATGAAATGAGTGAATTCTTGGGTAAAGGGTGAGAGGAGATCCCACGGGAAAATCTTTGCAGAAAGAAGTCTATACAGAGCAGAAATCTGCAGGAAGAACCCACCTGAAACTTATATTTATTCGCCAATGTCAGCCAATAAATACAATACAGATTTAAAAACAAATACATAAATAAACGAAGGGTATGGCATTCCAAGGGCTGTGGGAAGAGGCCAGTTGGAGAAAACCCACAAGGTAGAAAGGCGCTTCTCCCTCCCTGGGCCTGGCCCTGCGGCTGCTCCTGGAGGCGAGCCACACTGGAGTCCAGGGGGCGGGTGCAGACACGGGGCTGGGACGGAGCAGGGCCCACAGACTCCAGAGAGAAAGCCTTATCTTGCAGCCAGACTCAGCCCCTCCCCCCCTTGTCAGTCCTAACTGAAACCAGTAGGGAGGTAACTGCAAAATGAGCACGGCTGGACAGGGAAGGATCCGGGGAGGAAGAAGCCAACTCTGTCAGAGCTGGATTTTACTTTGGTAAAGGAAGACAGCAATCTCCTTGGATTAAAAAAGGCCCATGCCCCACTGTGGCCCCCAGAGCTAAAACTCCAGGTATAACGCAAAAGGAAAGCAGGCCAAAGGTTAACTACCAGACAGGGCAGGTGAGCAGGCCCGAGCCAAACTGTGAGCCACAGTATGGGGTCCTCACCTGCTTCCTGGAGGTCAAGTTCCACCCAATCCCTCCTTCACTCAGCGGCCATCAAGGTGCCAGTTCTAAGGAAAGCTTTCGTCCCTCCCAGGAAGGCTGTGTTTGCATGTGGGGCTACTAAAGACAGAAAGCTTCCACGCTCACAAGAATGGAAATCTAACCACAGAATGAAAGAGGACAGTAATGACCTTCTACACAGGCGTCATAACAGGGGTCATAAGTGCTAACAGCCTTAGCCACCTCATCTTGCTTAGTCTTCACAACCAACCTGGGAGGTACATTCTCATTTTAGTTATGAAAAAGTTGGGACTCAAAGAAGTTAAATAACTTGTTCAAAGTTATACTGTTAAGCTATTAAGAAGCCGAGTTTAGCCCTGGCTAGTGTAGCTCAGTGGATTGAGCGCGGGCTATGAACCAAGGGGTCGCAGTTTGATTCCTGGTCAGGGCATATGCCTGGGTTGCGGGCCCAATCCCCAGTGGGGGCCATGTGAGAGGCAACCACACATTGATGTTTCTCTCCCTTTCTCCCTCCCTCCCCTCTCTCTAAAAATAAATAAATAAATAAATAAATAAATAGCTGAGTTTAAAAACACAAACATACTCGCCTGGTTTCATTCCAGGGCCTTATGAGAGCCCACACATTCCAGGGTGCCGACTACCGCCCTGCTGGTCCCCCTTCCCCGACATGCCGGGGATGTGCCCCCCCACCCCCCTGAAGGTGGCTCTCAGACAGGAGAGCACAGCAGCGTGAACACGATGTCCTGCTTCAGACAGAGCCACAGGGTGGTGCGGGGGCCAACGTGTCTAGGCCATTTCTGAGAGACTGCCAAGCCTCACAAGGGGGAATTCACTGGGGCTCACCTTTAAAAAGCTAAAGTTAAGAATTTTTGGTTTTCAGAATGCTTTGCCAAGGTCTCTATAAATTCCCTAAGAAGTGGGATGATGCTAAACACGAAGAGCAGTTTTAAGTTCCCGAGGAACAGGCTCTCACCTCAGTGCGAGGCCAGGGCCTTCCAGCAGTACGCCGTAGTCTCGGGAAATCTGCTTGGTCAAGTCCGACAGCAGCGCGATGTTCATGTGGCCCAGACCGCCGTTCTGATACAAACGCAAACGAGACGGGCTGTTACTCGGGTGCCCTCGCAACATTCGTGGCCAGGTAACACGACACCTGAGACCCACGATGATGGCAACGGGTAGCAGGAACTGGGCACCAACGATGGGCCAAGCACCGCTCTCGGCTCCATTAACTGACTTCCTCTTCCCGACGACCCTGGGGTGGATACTACTGTATTGTCACCACCTTTCCGAAGATCAGGAAACTGAGGCAGACAAGGTTAAGTAACTCGCTTTAGGTCCCAGCTAGAAAGGGACAGGAGCAGGATTTAAACCCAGCTAATACTGCAGAGCTTTCTTTTTCTACTTCTTAACGTATTTACAATCGTTGAAGATTAATTTCTGAAGCATAAAAATGAAAGAGTATTCAAAACAACCTGAATGATTTGTTACTGACAGTCCGGCATCTTAGCTGGAAATTTTGATTCTCCTGAGCATGTTTTTAGGCAAAAATACTGATCATGTGAAACACTGAAGTCAGAGAACCTACCCGCCACCCCACAAGCCCGTGCAGGGTGCAGGGGGTCCGACAGGGCACCAGTGACAGACCCAGCTGCCCACCCTCCCCACCCCCCCTGCTGAGCCAGCTCTCCGTCACTGTCTGTACCTTGGAAAGTGAAAGTGCAGGGGGGAGTAAACACACACACAATGGCAAGGGAGATGCGGGCACAGGCAACAGAACTTGCCAGGAGGTGAGGACCCACAACAGCCCATCTCAGAGGAGGCATGCTTTAAGGACTTCCGGGTGAGTCTTGGGCGGGGTCTTTTCTGTTTTAAGATCCTAAGAGCAAAGGCAAGACGAGCAATGTGCGGACCTTCCTTGGCGTGTTGATCCAGGCGAGGTGGCTGAAGTGGGAATCCACGGAAATGGCCACCACTTCACAGTTCACGTCGTGGAACTCGTTGGCTTTGTCGCTGAAAGCAATAATTTCTGTAGGACACACAAAGGTGCTGGAGAAAAGGGGCAGAAATTCTCATCAGAGAGTTTAAAAACAAGGATTTTAAATATGAACAATAGCGTAAAAACTACTTAAATCTGCCTAAAGGCAAAAGGCAAAGTGGCTGACCATCCCTGGACAAACCTTTCTATTTAAGAACCACGTCCAGAAATTCGGGAAGGGGTGAGGAGGCATATTCTAAGAATGTAGAGCAATTCTGTTTAAATTAAGTCGTTTCATGAGGAAACTCCTTTTATTATCTGTGCTTCCCTTATTTTCTTCCAGACCAGCGAACGCTTCCCGGCAGACTGGCCTGCAGGGGCTGCCGCTCCCGAGTGCGTACAGTGGCCTTGTGAACACCCTACCACGTTAAATCAAATGCCACGTCACCCTCTAAATCTGTCACTTGAAAACTGGCTACAGATGCAAGCTGTACCCACAAGGCCATCAGGCAAGAAAGGCTTGGAAAGGACCCTCCTCGACAAGGAGCCGACCCAGAGACACACAGGGTCACCGTGCAAGCAGGGATCTTGCCTGCGCTCAGAGTGACATTCAGGTATCACAGAAATGACACTCACAAATCCAGAGGATAGAAGAAAAGCACCAAATATTTCCCCTTGAAGTCATCCAGGCTTAGTTCTTTGAACTCGCCCTTGACAACGGCTGTGCCCTTAAAATAGGGTGCATGCTGGGTGACGGCTGGGGCATGGTATGCGGAACCTGAAAAAAACCACAGGTACGTAAGAGTTTATCATCTGCTAAAGCGAGCACCTATGATTTTACGTAAAGCTCTCACAATGATTCATTAGTTGTATAAATTAACTAGATTCAGTTCAACTGTACATCTTATGTAAATCATTTTTCCTCCCATGGTTCTACACTGTACACAAATTCAATTGAAAAGCGCCATGGAAAACTAACCAAAAAGATGACCGGAGATGGTGGGGATGGAATCAAGGAAGACATGAGACTGGATATGGATCCTAAATATGGTTCCGATTTTGCCAAGTCCAGATGGGACAGGGCCGATGGCGTGGAGGAAGGAAGAGGCCAAGTGTGGGGTCTGGCCGCAGAGCAGGGTGATCAGAACAGGGAGAGCAGGTGAGTGGGGGGAGGACACTGAGATGTCAGGGTGAGGAGTGTTCTTAAAATAAGAGATAAAGGAGTTACTGGGGGTTTTCTATAGGAGGTGGAAGCTGGCTGTTCTCAGGAAGATTAGTCTGTGGGGCAGGGCAAGAGGAGCCAAGGAGGGGCACTGAAGTTAGGAGATTTCCTTATCTGAGTGAGAGGTATGGAGGGGAAGAGTGTGTGGCGGGAAGACCAGGAAGAATGAAAAGAATTCAGGAGCTGTGTCAGAACTGGAGAGGACTTGCTTCTGTCTACAATAAGGGACAAAGGAGATCAAGAGACCAGAGAGATTGAGTGTCAAAATGCCTGTGCATTTCTGTGGAAACCGCAGGAGCTGCTGGAAGTGGGAATCTGGTTACAAAGTTAGTTTTAAACGTGTGGCAGCAAATCCCTACTCGGACATTTTTAATGTTCCACAGAGGTAAAACTTTTTAGAGCTGTGGTCCCCAATCTTTCTGGCACCAGGGAAGACAATTTTTCTATGGATGAGGTGAGGGGATGGTTGCGGGACGATTCAAGAACATTACATTCCAGCTCACCTCCTGCTCCGTGGCCTGGTTCCCAACAGGCCCAGCACCAGTCCACGGGCTGGAGGTCGGGGACCCGTTTTAGAACATTTCACCCGTAAACAAAGGCTTTGCTAAAGTATATCCCCCACACCATCACAGGCTTTTTCAAATGTGAGATAAATTTAAAGGAGGCATTTTCAAATACCACTCGTTATCTGAGGCTGATCTTAGCAAAGCCCACATTCTAGAAAATGAAGTGTAATTCTCAAGAAATACGCCCTGGCTGGTGTGGCTCAGTGGATTGGGCGCCAGGCTGCGAACCAAAGGGTCTCTGGTTGACTGCCGGTCAGGGCGCATGCCTGGGTTGTGGGGCAGGTCCCCAGCAGGGGGTGGGGGAGAGGCAACCGCACACTGATGTTTCCCTCTCTTCTTCCCGCCCTTCCCCTCTCTCCAAAAATAAAATCTTAAAAAAAAAAAAAAGCTATGCTTCACTCTGAGATCATAGATGAGTCCGGGGAGTGCACCACGGCCAACTGGAGCCTGCACACAGGTTCGAATCCAAAAGCCTTGTTCCCCACAGGCTGCCTGCCACCCCCGCTTACCGCACATCCCTCCCTGCCACAGAGGCATCTGAGTCATCCCCCCCCCCCCCCGACCCTTACCATGTTCCTGGACCAGGGTTCAAACCTGCAGGAACCAACAAGGAAAAGGACGCAAGTATAGTCAGCCTGCCTCAGTGATTCTCAACCCTGGCTGCACATTAGTATCACTTGGTGAGATTTTACTGATATATTATTCAAAGATTTTATTTATTTTTATTTCTAGAGAGAGAAAGAGGAGGGAGAAAGAGAGGGAGAGAAATATCAATTGGTTGCTTCTCACACACCCCCAACTGGAGACCTAGCCTGCAACCTAGTCCTGTGCCCTGACTGGGAATGGAACCAGTGATCTTTCAGTTCGTAGGCCAGCACTCAATCCACTGAGCTGCACCAGCCAGGTTCCCAACAGGCCCAGCACCAGTCCACGGGCTGGAGTGATTTGTGGAGTCCACCACAAATCACTTGGTGAGACTGAAAACGCACTGATATTCTGGCCTCACTTCAGAGTGACTTAATTTGCCCGGGTGGGCGCGGGGCCAGTGTGTTTCTGAAAGCTCCCCAGGTGAGCCAAATGTACGTACAGCCAGGGTTCAGAGCCCCTGTCCAGAGACGACTCGTGTTTCCACTGCCTGAGTCAACACAATGCATAACACTTACTTGTGCTAAAGGCAAATTTTGCTTGACTGGAAGCCGACCACAACACATTTGTCAAGCCCATTCTTCGAGAAGCAGCAGGCCTCAGGGCTGCAGAGGCAGAGATGGCGCTCACATGTCGGGCAGCCTGGTGAGAGAAACACTTAATATTAGGAAGTTGTCCCAGAAGGGTGGCTACAGGCTGGCCCTGCTGATGGAGCACAGGCCAATGGGGGCCTCAGCTGTCCTTGTTTCTATGAACCACACACCAGACCAAAACTCTAAGAGCACGGATTGGGTCTCCCGGTTCTTAACATTCCCTTCTACTTCCTTCTCCTTCAAGAATGCAAGAGATATTGGTCATGGGTACACACTGCAGTTAGGCAGGGTGAGTATGTCCAGAGAGCTAATGTACAGCATGATGACCATACTGAACACCAGGAATATGCCGGGAGAGCCGATTTCAGGGGCACTCATCACACACACAAACAGGTAACTACAAGAAGAGAGATATTCACTACATGAAGAGAGATATTCATTAGTTTGACTGTAGTAATCATTTAATTAATAAATCAGTTATAATGTACATCTTAAACATATATAATTTTTACTCAAATATATACATTAAAAGAAAAACACTGCATGGGAGGGCATAAAGAAAAACTCCATGCTCTTAAAAGCAACACGGAGGGTTCAAAAACCAAAAGGACTTGGCCAGGCCCCGTGTATTTAAGCCTTCCTGCCAGGACGAAAATGCTGAGACATTCTACCACGTCAAGGTTTTCCTTAGAAAAGACAAGGCCTTTCCAGCCCCACTGACTAGTAAACAAGTAGAACAAAGTTCAGCCTCTAGGAAAGTTTGGATGGGGCTCACGGGAAATGTTTGTTCAATTTTAATGCCTGGCATGGCTCAGGAAGAAGTGCCTGCGTTGAACCCCGTTATGAGAAAGGCGATGGATAGGTAGCACGAGGGTACTGGGGTTTGCCAGGAGAAAAGCGTGGAGGCACATCTGGGGGGGGGGGTGGGAGGAGAAAAGCGCCTTTTGAGTTTCAGCACTTTGGTTACAGTAGCACTCTGATTTCCATCCAGCAGTTAGTGGATGCCCCCAGCCACACCTTGATGCAGGCGTCATTCTTTCCATCTGAAGGTAAGGAAAGTGAACTGAGATTCGGACAGGAGAAGTCACTTTCCAAGGTCACAGAGTCTGTTACAGAACCAGGACCTGAGGCAGGCAGTCCTCCTCCAGGACCACGCCCGTGCGCTCAGGTGGAGAGAGGTCTGGGGGCCTGCAACTCCGAGCCAGAATGCATTAACGAAGGGGACCACAAGGAGAGGGCCGGGGAAGGGAGGTTCTGCGCAGACGCGAGGAGCTTGCCCCAGAGGAGGCTGCTGGGTCCGTTACCCGCTGACACCTTCCAAGAGCGAAATATCCCCCGGACCGCAAAGCAGTGGGACTCAGTCTGGAAGCCACGTTCTCGGAGCCACCACACTGCCTCCGCACTTGTTCCCAGCTGGCAGCCACTCACCGTAGCCCGCAGCAACCTTGCAATCGTGGCCGCCATCTTCAGTGCACACAGGAGCAGCGTGGAGAATCGGGGAGCAGAGGAGGCGGGGCCTGTGGAGAAGAGGGCCGGAAAGGGCGGGCTCTCGTCGTGAGGGGGCGGGGCCAGCGCTGGAGCCTGGGCGGGAAGAGCCACACAGCCTTGCCGCCTTTTGGTTGGGTTCCTCACCCCCCTACTGTGAGGGGACGATGACTGTTATGGCTTCGGAGTAGCTGAATACTTGGGAAACTAAGACTTTGTCTTTAATTTTTGTTCCAACCTAAAAAGGACTAATTCCAGGTGGGGGAGCTAGATACTTATTTCTACATTTGCTACTTGTTAACCTGTATGCTTTACGGCTTATAGTTGTTTCTTTAAAAGATCTCTTTCCTATTTCGGCTTCTGCATAAAATGGAAGTAATTTCAGTGCAATTTTAGTCCGTTATCAAACTAAGTGGGTCAGCCATATCAAGGTTTTGATGTCCCAAGTGTGGGCTTCCATTTTGTCCTCTGTCCCCAAAATTGGGAGAATTGGGACAAATTTAAGTTTTATTTTCTGTCGATTTAGTAAAACTAAGTCCTCTGGTGAGCATGGTACTTCAGAGCAAAGTCACTAAACAGATGTAAAAAACCTCACAGTGGACTTAAATGCGACAAGTTGCAGACTGTACGTGGGTATTTTCCAAACCCCAGTCATTGCGTTACCCACCCAGTTCATGGAGTCTGCACATCACCTGCATGTTATTCACTGTTTACGTCGCTCCCCTTCCACACATTCGTACCTTCTGCTCTTTTGCCTGAACAGTCCTAGCGGGTTCTGGCCCTGCAGTTGAGGTTCACCATCTTGGGGACTTGCCTGGCGTTGCCCACCCTGTTCTCTCTTTTCTTCCCTTCTCCCGTCTTCCTGCCAAGCTTGTGGGAAGAGGGCACCCACTTAGATGCGACAACCAGAAATGTCTCCAGACATCGCCAAATGTCCCCTGGGTGACAAAAATCACCCCTGGTTGGAAAACAAAACAAAACACTGCTCTAATGGTTAGTGGCATGTCTCTGGAGCCACCAGGACCTGGGACCAAATTGCTGGTCTGTCACTTACAGTTTTGGAGGGTAGGGTGAGTGTCTTGGGCATCATGAATCCCTCATGGCTAGACCAGTTGCTTTTCTATGCCTCAGTTTCCACATCTGTCAGTAAAATGAGACTAATCACAGCATCTGCCTCAAAGCATTAGCTGTGAGAAGGCAGAAGACATGTAGAAGACCTCCCGGGGTACTTGGCCCACGGTAGGATTAGATAGATATTCGTTACAATTTTGCACCTTAGCAAACATGCTACATTTTCAAACAACTGACACAGACTTTGAATACATTTGGGTTTTCTTCAAGGGATGAAGTTCTTCTTCCTCCTTCCATTCAGGAGTGAAGGATGAGGCTTTTGCACAGGCACTGATCTCCAACCAGGCTCAAATTATGCTCTTCTGGAAGCTAGAGGGATGTGGAGTCGAGGATGTGAAGCAGAGGGATGCAAAGATGCCAGGTACCTGCCCACCTGCTCTCTGCAGCTCAGTCTTCTCTGCCTTAAAGACCCTGTACTGGGCTCTTACTCGGGGAACCCTTTTTTTTTTTTCTTTTAAAGCTAACCTTGAGTAATAAAGGTGACCACAACAGGAAGACACTTATCAGACCCTCATCTACCTGAAATGAATTTTAGCTGTGATTGGAGAGAAATCTCAACCCTTTCTAAGGTGGGTGCAAATTTCAGTTTTTTAATCACTGGGTGTCCGATAGCTTGGTACAATTTTGAAAAAAAAGTTCTCATCTATTGTATTAACTTCTGTGTACATTCAACAATGTTTTCTTTTAATACATGGTTTAATTTTCATCTTAAGAACATACTGTCTTATAGGTATTGTTTTGCCTTTTCCCTCAATATAAATCACAGTAGGACATTTTGCAAGTTCTATCTCCATAAGTCTCGATCACTCTGCAGTCATTCTTCACCTCGGCAGTTTACGCGCATGCTCAACAAAGCATTGCTGTATCCCTCCCACCAGCCAGGGGCCCAACACAGCAGCCCAGTTCCCAGGTCTTTTGGACCCTGGAGAGGAAGTTTCAATGCTTATTGCTTCTTTTCAAAGTAAGACGGTTAAAGAGCTTTCCTCAAGGCGCGTAGGGATTCATTGGCTCAGGGACAGTGGAACCCAGAACTCTCCCGAGAGCTGACATGTTGGTCTCCTGATCTGCTGGTCTCTGTCTAAAGGTTGATCTCCCTTGCACTAACAGGAGTAAAATACCCTAGAATCTCAGGCCACGAGACCCCAAAGGATTTCATGTGTGAGCCTTCCTGTGGCCTGTTCAGAATTACAAAGAACATGTCCTTTAGCTAACCTCAGGCTATAGCCAGAACTTCTGAAGGACACGGAGAGCCCTCCATTTGTGCATTCCGAGACAGATAAACCATGAGTGGTATTTGATCACCAATACTAGTTCTGTTCTGCCAAGCTGTCCCTGACCACCTCCTCTCTCCGTCCAGGTTGGAGAACCCTCCCACGTGCCTAGAACACATTGCACACGTGCCTTTCACATTCTCATCGTTCTTGTCATGTCACGGTGGAATTTTCTTTTGCCTTGTCTATGCCTTAAGCACACGGTGGACTTCTTGAGGGTAGAGCTCATGTCTTATTCATCTCTGTGGCCCCAGTGGCTAGGCTAGTGCCTGGCTCATATCGACTTGCTCAGAAATAGTTTGGCAAAAGAATGAATAAACAGTGGTTGACATGATAGCCGATGTTCTTTGTGCACTCATTCTTGAAAAAATATCTCTCTATTCAGTTTTCTGTAGCTGTCACAGCAAGGACACAAATTGTTCCCCTAGAGAAAACAAAAAACAAAAAACCCTGACCTTGTCCTCATTACCAAAAGAGTAGAAAATAACTGAAATTCTGCCTTTTTGAGTTTGGGAGAATTTCTGGGCCTAGTTGAGGGAAAGGCAAATGAAAAGATATATGCTGCTTTTTATGATGATTAGGAAAATACCTCCCTGGAACCACAAGTTAACATTCTGGTAGCTGGGGCTGCAATTAGAGATGGCAGACATCACTCTGGGTTCTGCTGAGTCCTTCCACTTTCCAGGGCAGAAAACACGGGGACATGAGAAGCAGCTGCTTCTTGCACATGAACTGGGGCCCCTCACCGAGTTAGCCTTAATGGGACAGGGAAGTGGAGCCCATAAAACGCTTCGAAAATGGTAATGTGTCGGGGTGTCTAACATTGGGTGTCTCTGAGCCACACAGGAAGAAGAAGGGTTGGCTTAGGCCACACATTTAAAATACACAAACACTAATGAAAACTGATGAGCAAAAACAGGTTTTTTTTAAAAAAATTTATGGCTATATCCTTTTTTTAAAAAAAAAGATTTTATTTATTTTTAGTGAGGGGGAAAGGAGGGAGAAAGAGAGGGAGGGAAACATCAGTGTGTGGTTGCCTCTTGTTAGCCTCTGACCTGGGGCCTGGCCCTGCAACCCAGGCATGAGCCCTGACTGGGAATCAAACTGATGACCCCTTTGGTTTGCAGGCCAGCACTCAATCCACTGAGCCACACCAGCCATGGAAAAAAGAAAAAAAAAAAAGGTTTTAAGTAAATTTATGATTTTGTGTTGGGCCTCATTCATAGCCATCCTGGGCCACATTTGGCCAGTGGGCTCCCTGTTGGACACCCCAGGATATGCTCTGTGACCTGGCACCAATGTTTCTGAAATTTGGTGATGAAAAGGAGATGCAGACTATTTAGGCAAGCAGTATTTTCATTGTGGTGGTAGTAGGGATGGAGGAAAAAGTCATCTGAAGGGGAAGAGGCGCTTTTATTTTGGGAAAACACTTTGAGGAGCTTTTAGTTATTTGAAATCAAGCCAAATTCCTACTCTGGAATGGAGAGCTGAGAATAAAAAGGAATTAAACTGTGCTGAACAATACTTGAATGTCTTCATCAGGGAAGGCTGATTGCTGGGGATTAATCTCTCTCAGGGAAAAGCCAGGGGTGGAGGAGGTTGGTTGGAGGAGGAGGACTGGATGGGGATAAGAAAGGCAAGATCAAGGCTGGTCCATATGAGTGCTCTTTCAAGTCAGATGCTGGGGACCACAGAGAGAGATGCAGGGGCCAGAGGGAGAGATGTGGGGGGCCGAGGAAGGGAGGTTGAATAGAGATGGGGTGAGAGGTTGGACTGAAAATAAAGACATGGTTCAGTTTTTGTTTTGTCTTTGGTCCCTTCCAAGTGGGAAAAATGATATCAGAGCAGGGAGGAGGCTGAGGGGACTGTGGGAAGGGAGCCCGGGGAGCAGTCCCTCTGGTCACTGGGGTGACAAAGCTCCTGATTTAGAATTACCTATTGGGGGTGCTTATTGTGGCTCAAAGCCCCTTTCCTTGGGAGTCCCCCTCCATCCCCATACCTGTTTGCCTATTGTCCCCCACTGTCGAGATTTGCTTCATCAGACTAGTGCTGGGGTCCTCTGTCATTGATTTCTTCTTCCTCTTCTCCTCTGCCGTTCCTTCTGTCCATTCAACTTGTTCCTCTGGACTCTAGGCCTCCTGCTAATGTCCTCTCTTTCTGCAAGATCAGTACCATTTGGTGAAAACGCTATGTTTCTATCATGCTGGAAGGCCAGGCAGTAGAGTAGAGTCAGGAACTCATCTTAAAGTCCCAACTCAGCAACTTTCTGGTCATGCACGCTTTTATTTCTCTGACCTGTAATTTCCTTATCTATAATATTGAAATAACAATACCTTCCTATGAGCCCTGGCTGGGTAGCTAAGTCGGTTAGAGTGTTGTCCTGATATGCCATGTTTGGGGGTTTGATCTCCATTCAGGGCATATACAAGGAGCAACAGGTTAATGCGTTAAATGAGTGGAACAACAAATTGATGTTTCTTTCTCTCTCCCTGTTCCTCTCTCTCTGTCTCTAAAATCAGTAAATAAAAAGGGAGCAAAAAATAATAACTACCTACTGATTATGTAGGTGAGTGCAATTTGAAAATTGTACATTGTTAGCACATTAATAATTATTCATCCCTTGGTGTAAT